TAAAGCAGAGAGAAAGAAAATCTAAGTTCTCGATGTACAAACTTTTGAATCTTCCAGGCGTGTCAGAGGGTTGAACAGAAGAAAAAAGCCTCGAGGCTACAAACTCTCAGCTCCTGCAGTCGACTCGCATTAAGAAAAGAGTCCGAACGGCAGTCAGAGAGCTGATGCACAAAACTGAACTGACAGAGCAGCTTGGAAAAACTGTGAGGAGAGCTGCAGAGGCATGCCGAGTTACAAAATACCTCAGCAGCTTCTACAATAATACACAGAGCTGCAGCAGACTATACAGAGGCATGTCTGGGACTGTAATGTTTACAGGAGTTACACGTGTTTGGGCCAAAAATTGGCAAGAACTGAAGGCATTTAACGGATAATTCCAGTTTAATCATCTTGCTGTATTTTCCAATAATGTAATGTTGTGTCTCTGTGCTAACTTTGCAGTCTCCTCCTCAGATATGAAGATTTTTGGACGTGAAGAGTCACATATTGGGGTAATAAGCTCCCTGCAGCGTCCTCAAAAACATATTTTTTTCATGAATCATTTTTGTTTTCAGCCTGACTAAAAGAAAACACAGAAATTAGCCACCTGGAATTAATTTTTTGCGAACCGCATTAGGGATATGTTCCTCCATGCACGCCAGTTTGTTTCCATGTGGATAACTTACTGTTTAGTGTTTGCTTTTGCTGGAAGAAGTTCTAGCAAACTTAATAAACCACAAGAATATGACAACAGAATGCATACTGGTATTGCAGCACAATAATGAGACACTCGAGTTGTGGCTAGGTAACTGCTCTGTAGTTTTACACAAGTTCTATATCAGTGTTGGAGAATTCTCTGAATTTCTTTAAACCAATCACAGCTGTGTTTCATCACGCTAAGCCCAGGATGCAGCAATGGTGTCCCTGCAAAATGATGATGGAGGAATCAATTTTTTGTTGTTGTTGTTTTTCTGTTCCAATCTAAGTTATTTGATATTTAGTGTCTTCTAATACCATTTTTGTAGATAATGCACACCTTAAGTATTGTAGATCAGCTGTAGGACCTGGTTGTTCCACCAGGTGGAGCCTCTTATTGTTTAATACTGTAGAAACCAGCAGAGGCGGGTACTTCCATGTTGGCGAGCAGTGAGCACTGATTGGAGTTTAGCAACTAAAGGAGCATCTTGACAGAGACTTCTGTTTGGTTTTGTTAAATCACAGATAACTTGTAAAATAACTGTATATATTGCTTTATATGTTGACTGTAAAAAATTTTTAAAAAGGCTAAGACTGCCAATACATTTTTCACATTTAACTGTAAAAAAAATCACTATTTTGCAAATATTTTCTGTTATTTGAAAGACACATATAGATTTAACATTGAAATATAGTAAATACTTTTCATGTTATAGATATTTCTATGTTTAGTTAAATTGAAGACAACATCTAGTAAAATCAATTGTTGTGTCAATGGTATTATTTTACCTGTTGATGGTACAGAAACAGGTCAAAACTGTAAATAATGTCGCCATTAAATATATGTATTTCTACAAATATTTAATTGTTCTTTTCCAATGAGTGATTGTAAATTTATCGTTTTGCTGTATTTAAATTAGCAGAAATATATGTATTTTACAGCCATTTGCCATTATTTCCACCAGTACTTCAACAGGTTTTGAACTTTGCAGTATTCCACCATTTCTTTTTTCTTTTTTCTTTTACAGTTTGATCAACCTGTTTACATTTTCCATTTGAAGATGTGAATTTTCTTTCTGTGAAAAAATCCCATGAAAGACTAAAATGTCCAAATTCTAATCGGACATCACGCAGCCACTGTAACCCTAAACTTTCTCCAAACTTAAGCCTTTAAGTTGCATAACTGTAATCGAACCTTAACTATGGAGCCATTAGCACAATGTTTCCTTGGCACTTGTTGGTCATAACAAAAATATTGAAATCTGTTCGTGCAGACAAGCAGGTTTCCAAGATGTACAGATGCCAAATTCACTATTTAATTATGAATTAACGAACCTTTCCACCTTTCCACAGACTCACACAGGCTCCAAAGCATCGAAGCACAATCATAAATTTATATTTCTGCCTCCATCTCTGCTGCAGTTTTTCTCCTAACAAACATCTAAAGCAACCGAAATCTCATCGGCTCTAAACAGGCTCAGTGTGGCAACCATGAAATAGGTTTGCAGTGCAGACAGGAACATGGAAGAATCACAGAAGTCCCCAGAGGTTTTCAATATTTAAGTGGCAGATGCCTTATTTAAATTCAACATGAATAAAAGTCCCATTAAGTTTCATCTCGAGCATGCATTATACTTAAACTACTTTTGGTTTTATGCCACATGAATACAGTTGAGTTCTTTTACAAAGCAGCAACAGTTTTGTCTGTTTTGTTCTAGTCAAAACAAAAAAGGCAATTATAACAACAAGTCGAGCCTGAAAAATAAAGACGAGAAATAAAATATATTTGGATATGATGGCTGAGCAAGATTTGTCTGACTCATTCAGCTATAAAAAATTCAAATCACTGATCAATATCTCTGTACTTACCTGGTATTGATACCTGTTGTTTCGCAGCTCCTCTACTGCAAAGCGTCTCGCTCGACCCTGTAGAAGTCAGTGACAGACATGCAAGAAGTGCAGGAAGAGCGAGAGGGAAAACACACACCCCTGCTGCACGCAAGCATGCATGCACATGCATATGCACACACACACACAAACACACAAGAACGTACACTCTCAAACACACACAGAAGCACACAGCATCTACCCCCGTCATTATGGAGGCCCGGTGGTGAGCACAGTGTGGTTTAGGTTTGAGGCGAAGCTCCAGCACCTTGGTTGGTTTCATCTGGTTTGGCCACTGTGTGTGTGTGTGTGTGTGTGTGTGTGTGTGTTAGATTGTGCATGTGTGGGATTTTGTGTGCATCTGTGTGTGTGTTCTTCTTCTCTGTGACCTCTGGATGAAGTCACAGTCCTGGATCCTTCAGATATGAGCTCATTGGTAGATTTTACCAGTCTGTGGTTGAGATCTGCTCTGTGAGAAAGAAACTAAGACAGAAGGAAATAACTGTAAACTCTGTGAAACATCATATATTTGCCTATCAGGAGCCTAAAGAGTCAGAGGGGCCCCGTTTGAGCCCGATGGTTAACATTTCTTACTGGTAAGTCATTTAAACAACCACAAAGAGACACAAAACAGCAACAAGCAGATGCAAAATTACTGCAGAGTGATTCAAAATGACCAGGGAGAGAAGCAAAGCAACCACAAACGGAAGGAACTGAGTTAACAGACACACAAAATGAACACAAATAGATGCAAAACAAATGCAAATGGAAACTAAATGGCTCAAAGACACTACTACGAGAAGAAAAACAACTACTAAAGAAAACATAATGTCCAGAAAACAAATGCAAAATTAACCCAAACAGATGTAAACTAACAATAAAAAGGTAAAACTGACTAAGAAGAGACACAAAATGGACACAAATACATGTAAAACCAATGCAAACAGATGCTAAATGACAACAAAGACACACAAACATATACACAGACACACATACAAAGTTACTATAGAGACTCAAGGGAACAACAACAACAAAAAAGATAAAATGACCAGACAGAGAAACAAAGCAACCACAAGGAGAAGGAATTGAGTAAACAGAGACACCCAATGAACACAAACTGATGCCGAACAAATGTAAGTGGAAACTAAATGGCTCAATGACAGACAAAAGGACCAAAACAATCTCAAAACACTCACACAAAAACTTAACTACAACGGAATGCAAACCAACCATAAAAATACTTATAATGACCAGAAAAAGATGCAAAATAAACCCAAAGAGACTCAAAACAGCTACAAAATTACTACAAAAGACTCAAAATGATTATAAATGGACACGAAATGACCAGAGAGAAAAAGGTACACCAACCATAAAGACATGGTACCGACTAAAAAGAGACATAAAATAACCACAAATAGATGCAAAACCAACGCAAATACACAACATGACTGAGAGCCACAAAGAACCACAAAGAGATCCAGCACCATCGTAGAGAGACTCAGAAAGTGATGCATACAAAAAGGAAAACAGAACACAAAAATGGAACTGAATAAAATACACCACAAAAAGGACACAAATAGAGACGCAGGGTGTGCAAGGAGACAAAAATCCACCAAACTGACTCAAAACAGCCACGGAGAGGCTCAAACTACCAGAAAGAGATGAAAACCAACCACAATGAGGAGGAAAAGAGAGTGAAAAAGCCCACAAATGAATGCAAAACCAAAGTAAGCAGACACAAAACAACTGCAAAGACACACAAAAATACCATAAAGAGATTCAAAGTGACTACAAAGAGACACACGTTGACAAGACAAACCACAAACAGGTGGAAATGAAGGTAATATCACACAAAAGAAGCAGCAGGACTCAAAAGAGCCACAAAATGACTACATGCAAGCCAAATACAAACATACTCACAATGGACAGGTAAAGATACAAACCAAAGACAAAAAAGACACAAATGCGACACAAACAGAACAAAATGAATATAAATTGCCAAAAAGAGGCACAAAATGACCAGAAAGAGATGCAAAACAATGAAAAAAGATAACAAAGGATTCCTAGTATATGACAAATGACAGCAAAGATGAAACAGACATTATAAAAACACAAAAATGTAGTACCAGTGGATAAAGACTTGAACACTAAAAATAATACTAATACTAAGATTTTTTTTTAAATAAATAAATAAAAATAATAATAATAATACACAATACACATATTGAATGCAGTATGACTATGAAATTATAAAAATGTTACATTTTAATTGAATAAAACAAAAAGGAAATTTATAGGTGGTCTCTGTCTCTGTCCAACTGGTAAATAAAGGTTGTAGAAAAAAAATTAAAGGCTGGCCTTTGTGGATTTTCCTCTTACATGATTGGCTGATATACACGTCAGTCAAACTCCCTTCTTCCGGTCTGCTCCGTTGCTAAGTAACAGCTGCTATGCTCTCCGTCCGTCCGCTAAACAGAAGCTAACTTTAAGGGTTTGGGAATTTGCGCGAACGTACAAGTAGTTTGTAATTATTGCAGCTACTCGTCTGGAGTCATGACGGCGATAAAAGACGGAGAATACACAGCTACAATCTACAAACTGGTGAGAAACCTACGTTTGAGTTGGCGTTAGCGTCAAGGCTTCGTGTTAAGCTAGCAGCCTGAGCGAAACTCCATTCAGAAAACGCTCAATTTAACCTCTTTTTATAATTGATAAACAACCACACAGGGCTCAACACGTTAAAAGAACTGCGGCGTACTGCTTGTAAATTCAGCCTTCATTTCGTACAAGAAACATCGCGAAAATCAATGAAATGTATGCAATATTTTTCTGTTAACTTGCTGAATAACGAGCTAATCTCTGAAGTTTTCAGTGCTACAGTTCACATAGTTACGCTTTTAGTTACAACTAATTAGACCTGATATTAACTACCTTCACCAATATTTTGGCTCCTTAATAGCATGTAGTGTTTGTGGCGTTAGATGCTGCATAAAATATAAAAGCGTCACAGTAATTTTTTGTTTTGTTTTTTCCAGATTAAAGACGGACAGTATGTGGAGGCAATTCACATCCTGAACGGCCAGCTTCAAAAACACACCAAAGTGAGTGTCTCAGTCAGTGTTCATGAAAGAAATACACACACAGTAGATATTATTAGGATGTGTGCAAGTTATGCAAGTAACTGGTGTAAATACACAATCCAAAAAGATCAAAACATTGCTCACGTTGTTGTTGTTTTTGTCCATTTAAATAAGCGAGTGCAGAAGTTCTTAGTTAAATCTAAACTGACTAAAATGAGCTGCTACCAATAATAATTATTAGTTTTAGTCAATCCATCCATCCATCCTTTATCTATACACTGCTTAATTCTCACTAGGGTCACGGGGAGTTTTAGTCCATATTTTGAGCAAAATACGGAACAGTACTTGTTTCATTCTGTAGTTTTATCGTATTTCACTTTCATGTACAACATTGTCAGTGTGATGTGCAATTTTTTTATTTTCATCTCATTTTTCAGGTGCATTGTTTTTTTGTTTTTTTTTGCAATGTATGGTATTACTTATTACCTGCCAGCTTCTCTTTTTGCTGTTCTACTCTAGCCTTATTTTAGCCCACCTTTTTTATTTCAGTAATGTGTTGTACTTACATTTTTTTTTCTACTTTTTAGATACTGCATTTCTTATGTTTTGTCAGTTTTTATTTTCCTGAGCAATATCTGACACAAGAATTTCTTTCGGGATTAATATAGTGTTACCTTAACTATCTTCTTTTCTTATGTTATCAAAGGTGAATATTTGCTACTACTTTTGGAAAGATGTCACTTTTTTCATTAGGAAAAAGATTTTAAGAACTTTTTTTAAAGCTATTTTCAGGTAGTTCATCAGTGGTGAAAGATGTTTTTCTGTGTCTTTACTTAAGTAAAAGTACCAGTACAGGAATGTGGAAAATAATCTGTTGCACTTAAAAATTTGAAATAATGCAATTAGCTAATCGCAAAGGCTGCATTTTACAATATAGGATGTATGCCTATTCAATAATAGGACTAACTTGGTCATGACATTTTATTTAATTTGAGCAGATTTAAACATGTTGACTTGTTTATGCTGCACATTGATTATTCAGACTGTGGTTCATGCATGGGCTCCAAGGTGACTCGGTGGTTAGCACCGTTGCCTCGCAGCTAGAAGGTCGCCGGTTAGTGTCCCGGTGAGGACACCCGGGATCTTTCTGCGGGGAGTTTGCATGTTCTCCCCGCGCAGCGTGGGTTCTCTCCGGGTTCTCCGGCTTCCTCCCACAGACCAAAAACATGTTGAGGTTAATTGTTGATTCTAAATTGTCTGTAGGTGTGAATGTGAGTGTGCTTCGTTGTCTGTCTCTAAGTGTAGCCCTGTGATAGACTGGCAACCTGCCGTTATCCTAAGTCAGGCTCCAGCCCCCCGTGACCCTAGTGAGGATTAAGCAGTGTAAAGATAATGGATGGATGGATGGATGGATGGTTCATAAAATGAACATTCTCAAGTAAAGTACCTCAAAGTTCTATTTAAGCACAATGCTTGAGTAAATGTATTCAGTAAAATGTTGAGTTATTGGATGATTTATTTAAATGTGAAAAGTTTAGAAGGAAAATCAGTATTTGGTGCAGCTGGTAACGGCTCATAGACATCTGAAATGTGAGCTCAACTACACACAGCTGTTTAAAGGCTTGTTATATTATCCATCAAGTAAATACTTTGTTTTAGAAAAGCTGTCAGCGTTTACTGTACATCAAAACTGAGTTGATTTAATTATATCATTTCGTAAATAATGGGGAATAGATGTTGGACTGGTGTGTTTCTCTGCAGAGGAGCTACAGATTCTTACTTACCCCTGTGTTTCAGTCCAGAGCAGCGCTGTCTCTGCTGGGTTTCTGCTACTATCACATCCAGGACTTCACCAACGCCTCGGAGTGCTACGAGCAGCTCACCCAGCTGCACCCAGAGGTGGAGGAGTACAAGGTGTACTACGCCCAGTCGCTCTACAAAGCCGGTGCTTATCCGGACGCCACCAAGGCCTCGTTTGTACTCGACAACCCCAGCAGTCACACCAAGGTACAGTAAGCTCACAAAGACTGGCTTCCATCGCTGTGTCAGATTTGCCATTTGAGAACAGTTCCATTTTACTTACACTGAACATTTTTCCACCATCTGTTACACGCTTGCCATCACTGGGAGCATTTGTTCAACCGAGTGTTCCAACAAATGCATATGGTGCCATAAACGCACAACAAATGCAACATGGCGAGCACTAATGTGTACAGCTCAGCAGCACTTTTATCATCAGTGATGCTGCCTTTAATTGAAATCAACTTTATCTTGTATATTTGCTAAAATCAAAAGCATTTCTGCATAAAGTTTCTTCATCAATTTCAGGAAAAAACAAGCTCCTGAAAATAAATTATGCATGATTTTTTTTTTGGCTCACCATCCCTGTTTTACCTTCAGTTTATCCTCTGTCTGTTTGGCACAGATGGTCAAGCTGCAAGCCTGCATCAAATACTGTGAGGAAGATTACTCTGCCGCCAAGGTGACGGGCTCTCACACATTACGCCGTTTCTCTTCAATATGGAAGCAGATTTAATTTTTATCATCATTTGTCGTTCGTTTCCTGCTGTTCCTGTGTGTTTGTGTAGTCTCTGTTGGAGCAGCTGCCTCAGGATGACCCGGACTACGTCTACAACATGGGCTGTTTGCTTTACCAGGATGGAAAGTATGAGGAAGCCTGCAAGAAGTTCATGTCTGCCATGCAAGTGCTGGGATACGTTCCAGGTAATCAATCAAACACACACAGGAAGAGAGTTCCAGCCCCACAAAAAAACAAATACATTTTCTGAAATAGAAAAGTCCTTAAAATTAAGAATTATCCAACATGGAAATTTATGGCCACAAATCCTGATCCACATCAGATACTTGGACCAAACCAGGATTTCACTACAATACTTTTACTTGTATTTGAGTATTTTTCCTTTGCTGTGTTGGTATTGTTACTTAAGTAAAGGCTGTAAAGATTTCTGCACTCTGTCTGTTTAATTTTAGCATCACTGCTTCTATTTTAAGTTGTTTGTTGTAATCTTTGCATTTATACATAAACACCTTAGGTTGTGTTCTTCTGGGAAGCGCAGCACTGACTTTGGTTGTAATCTGAGATGTATTAGTTCTGTTTCTTATCATTGCACAAGGTGTGTTTGCTGGTAAACTGAAAATTCAACACAGCGAGTGAAACAGAAGAAAAAACATTAAACAACTTTCTAATTTTAAATCACAAATGTAAAGAGACATTCAGGTTTTGATTAAAGTTCATCTCTGTTTCTTTGTCTTCCAGCGTTGTCCTACAACATCGCTCTGACCTACTACAGCCTTAAGAACTACGCTCAGGCCCTCAAATACATCGGAGAGATCATCGAACGAGGAATCAGGGAGCATCCAGGTAAATACACACCTCGGAGGAGCTGCCAATGTCTAATTTATTCACTTACAGCAGTTAGAGAGACGTGTTTTTAACTGTTCTTTAGTCATTTTTTTTCTGACCAGTTTGTTTTTTCTCCACACGCCAGAGCTGAGTGTCGGCATGACGACCGAAGGCATCGACGTCCACAGTGTCGGCAACACGCTGGTCCTGCATCAGACGGCCCTAATCGAAGCTTTTAACCTTAAAGCTGCCATCGAGTACCAGCTGAAGAACCGTAAGAACCTCAGTCTGAAAGCTGTAGTCATGACGGAAGGGTTAAAAAGATGCTCACATCTCTCTAACTGCCTTTAAAACATGAAATATTACACATGTGATATTACTATAAATGATCCAGCATCCATAACTGTCTGACAGTTGCAGGTGTAGCACTGCTACCTGCTAGTTTAGCATGCCCTCAAAAATGTTTTTACATACCTAAAAATGCTTTAATTTAATCTGAATATTGAACAAAAAGCATCTCTAAAATATTTGTTTCATTTTGTTAAAAATTAGAGGAGATTTTGGATCATTATCACGCCATAAATCAAAAAATATTGTCAACAGCCACAAAAAAATCACTACTGAAGTTTAATATAGTTTAAACATTCCCACTATTGTATCATGCTATTAATAATATACTAATTTGCATTAATTTCCAGAACATAAATCTGAATATTGGGTTGAAGTCAGCTGGGATTGAAAAAAAAAGTAAAATTTAGTACATTTTTTTTGGAAATCACTATGTATAGATAGAGATTTTAGTAAAAATGCATTTTAAAATGACATTCTCACAACAAAGGAACAATGTTCTCTATGGAACATATTGAAAATGTTTTGAGAACATATTTAGAATGTCTTCAGAGAACTTTCTCCTTTCATTAAAATAAACATTCTGGGAAATAATTAAAAAATATTTTAAAATAATTTAATAATTAAACAAAAAAACACTAAAAACATCACCAGGACTTTCTCAGAACCCTTTTAGGACAATAACATACAGATTTTTCAGGACACTGCAGTGTTTCACCCTCAATATGGAGCAGCGACTGTATCATCGTTTTACTTAACAAAGCCGAGCATCTCAGTAACTTGACTGTAATCCAGATGGTAGGATTCAGTCCAGAACCAGGTCACTGCTGCAGAAGTTTCCTCTCCTGTAAATACTACAGCTGCAGAGAGAAAGACATGAGAATCAGCAGGAACAGAACTCGTAAAGCTCCTTTTTTATCTTCAAAAGCTGCTCCCTTCTTTGTCAACCCTCTGACACATTATCAGAGCAGGCTTCAAAGATTAGTGATCAGAGGACGACGAGCAGGAAGGAGGACGTCTGAAGCCAACATCAAACAAAGGACCGAGGAGCTTCATCACCTTCATCACCTCATCACCCGGCTGCAGGGATGAACTCGAACATGGAGCTAAAAACAGGTTTTAAGGAGCTTCCTGGTAACCTGCCGGTTCCCTCAATAACCTTTATCACTGAATCTCAATTATCAGCTGTCTGTTAATGGCAGAAAGTAGCAACATTTGCCACATAATGACCCCAAAAATCAGAAAATAAAACAGTAAAATTAAAAATCTAAACTGTAGCCCATTTGTAATTAAGATCAATTACTGTTTTTTCTTGGAAATGTACAAAAAAAAATGCAAAATACACAGTTCTTAATTTTAAGATGAGCAGTTTAATCCTAAAAACATGGCAAAATTGAACTTTTTTGCGTGGCTGTTGACAGTGTTTTCCAATTAATGTAGTGATAAAATGATGTGTCCAAAATCAACAAAATGAAACTCACATTTTAATGCTGGCGTTATCCTATATTCAGATTTCTGTTCTGGAAGTTAATGCAAATCAGATTTCTTTTTACATATAAAATACCTTATTTGCAAAATAAACATTAAAAATTTATCTTGTTGTTAGTAATCAACTGGGAAATTTCTTGTCAATATCTACTAGTCAATTCTTTTTTATCCTGTTTGCCTGTAGTGTCTCCCCTTAACTGTAAATCTTTTAGAATTTTGTCGGTCGCGGCCTTGAAGAGGTATTTCATCCTGCAAAGAAAAGTAGAAGAAAATCCTTCCACGCAGTAAAATGACCTGTTTTCTTGTCTGTTGTGGTTTCATGTGGATCCCTGCAGTGAAAGGAGCTCAGGAGGCTCTGACAGACATGCCCCCGAGATCAGAGGAGGTAACTCTCTCTTTATTTACGTCTTGGTGACATAAATCAGTTTACACGTCACGCTGTGGGGACGCAGCTTCATTTTGTAAGTCCCTGCAACGTAAATGAGTGGTTTTAAGTTTTTAGGGGAAAGGTTGAGGTTGAGTCAGTGCATGTGCTGCTGGATTCTCTCCCCCCTGATTATTCTGCCTGAACTTGCCCCTCGAGCAGCCCGGAGGTAACAGAGATGAATAGAACATTAGAACAGATGCGTAGGTGTGAAGGCTCACACGGAGGTAATGATGATAGTTCTAAAACGGCTTCATTAAAATTAATGCACAGACGAAGCTCCGTCCTTGGTCCAGTCATGAGCTTCTTCTTCCAACTCCAGGAGAAGATTGTGCACATATACTGCCCCCTGGTGGTACATAGCACTGAGTGCATCCTCTCAACGTGAAGAGGGAACCAAACAAATCATGGCAGCAACCTGTCCAGTTGACGTTTTCAGTTGCTTTGTGATGACATTTTGATTCTCCATTTTTACAAAATCTTTAATAATCCTGCACCTATGTATCATAAACCTATATCTGGTGTTAACACATATATTTAAATGAACATCTGCTATATTCAAACCAAATGAATTCACACAGTGGTGATTAATTCTATCAGCTCCAGGTAAAGCTCTCTGGATTTTGCACTGTGGTAGAGTTTTAGATTTGGTTTCTGAGGCAAAATTCCAGCACTGGTAAACCAGAAGAAATGGCTTTTACATCAACCAACAGCTACTGGTTTGACAGGAGTATGTTAGAGTACAGTACCTAATGTGATGTATTAATAAAAACAACATGTTAGGTTGAAAATAAAGATACTAAAGTATAACCGAAGGTGGTTTATTGGCAACAAAAGTGACTTGAAAAGGCAAATAGAAACTCATCAAACACAATAACTGAATTAAAAAATAAAAGAAACCACAATAAAACCACAATTTACAGATAAAGTGGTAGAAAGCAAAGGAAAAAGAACATTCTTCTGTATCGTTTTTTTAAGAAGCCATGTTTGGTTTGAACTCAGCCTGATTTTTTGTGCAGATTTGACAGACCTACGAAACCTCAGTGAACATTTCTCTTTATATATTTTGTGCCTTGACCCCTAAGAGACTTATAGAGAATATGTTGAGCCTTAAACTCAATTCTATATTTAACTGGAAGCCGGTGCATGATTTGAAGAGTTGGACTGATGTGTTCACATTTCTAATTACGACTAACAGAACCTGCAGTGTTCTCAGTTTTGACCTGGTTTGTGTCTAATTCATGAAGATGGGAGATGATACAAGAGGTGAAACCAGCAGCAGCAGCAGTCAGGAGGTTGAGGAAGGGCCACTCTATTAATTGCAGAAGCTGCGGTGACCGTCCTTTAAACCGACATTATTTAAGAGTGGAAGCGTTTCTGATTCAGCACAGCAATTATCTGAGGGCGCTGCTGTTTCATTGTTAAAAAAAAAGAAAACAACCGCTCACAAAAAAGCCACAAAACTACACATTGAAACTTTGCCAAAGTATATAAAAAGACATCTGATGAATGTTGGCTGCACTGCCTTGTTTGTTCAGATGAAACCAAAGATAAACCTGTTTGGATCAGATGCAATCCAACATTTTTGGTTGGAAGTGAGCTGAAAATCTGTTTGAATACAGGTTTGTTTACCCCAATACTTAATGGAAAACATGACTCCTCAATCTGAAGAAGCTGGCAGGAGAGAAGGTTTCTGTAACAAAGATCCCAAACACACTGCAGCAATCACACCACGCAAGAGAGCTTTTATAGAGGGGAAAAGTGAAAACTATGAGTGTGTCCTCTCACATGAATCCGACAGAACACCTTTAGAATGCTTTAAAGTGGAAGGTAGAGTGAAAAAAGCAAAATGAAGGTATGTTTAGAGGAGAATCACTTAAAAAATAAAGGTGAGAGAAGAGACTAAATATTTCAAAATAAAAGATTCACGCACTTCAGTTGCCATTAGGTTGTACTTTAGGGTAAATATTTCAGTTTAGTTAATCTATATATCAAGTAAAACACACTCCACTTCAATATAAATATATACTAGTATGTGTAAGATGATGCAATTTCGCACTGAAGCTTTTTGTCTCGTACTTTGTATTTTGTAGAGGCAGGAAACCCTGTGTATCGCATACTTTATATTATCTAAAGTAGGTTCTTCCATCTCACATCATCAGCAGCCTTCTGCTCGACCATCACTTATCTGCTTGAAACTCTTTTATCATAAACTATATCTATATTTAAAATAGTAACTGTGAAATTTCAGCTTGGTATTTCAAATACTTTTGGAGATATTTTTTTTTTTGTCATTGACCGTTGACCCACTTTCAGCAGATTTTTTCTCACATTGAAATTTGAGGCTGTTTGAATGACAATAGATCAAGGAACTATTAAAGATGAAAACATGATATTTTCACAGTTATTTCTCATCGCATTACTGATTCAGAATCTGCAATATTGGACAAGTGGAACAAATTATCTTTTATGGGTTGGAATATGACACATTTGAAAAGTCCCATCTTTCAGCTCAAGTTAACAAAAAGACAAATATCTCAGGAATAATTAAAGATAAAAGCTGTAAATTTTCACTGTTATTTCTCATCATGCCATTGATTCAGAATCTTTTATCTTGAAGACTTCCTGAGGTATTGTCTTTCAAGCACTACCTCAGATTTAAATGTGAGAAAACATGCTGAAATCTGACAAACATCTTTAGAAACATTGAAAAATTTCTAAAAATTTGAGGCAAATCGGACATTGTCGAGCAGAAATTGTTCTAGAAATGTGATGATTTGAGCTGGACTGTGGTTCTGTGTGTTCTGACAGGAGCTGGATCCGGTGACGCTCCACAACCAGGCCCTGGTGAACATGGACGTGAAGCCGTCGGAGGGTTTCGAGAAGCTGGCCTTCCTCCTGCAGCAGCCCTCCTTCCCTCCCGTCACCTTCGGAAACCTGCTGCTGCTCTACTGCAAACACGAGGTAACACAAAGTTGCTCAGTGACCCGACACTAAAGGATTAAAGACGTATAACACAGCAGTATCTGAACCTTTACTGCAGACTCGGCATTTAATTCAGGCTTCCTTTATCCTCGTCACTTTTGCTTTTGTAGATATCATCCTCAGTTTTCCATGACTTCAGATTTCCAGCTCCTCATTTCTCCCAGTGGACGCTGTTTGCATCCAAATTCGTCTCCCTTCTTCTCAGTGAAATTACATTTAAGATATTTTTAGCAGAGACGTGTTGCATGTACAGAATGAAACTGCACAAATTGGCATTTCTAACGACAACAGTTGTTCATCTGTGCAGTGAGGGGTTAGCAGGAAAAATAACTTTGAACTTACATCAAATGTAATCATGTAGTATCAGAATCAATTTGTTATCAACTTTCTATGTTAACTCAGGCTTTCTGCTTCAAACTCTGTGCGCGTTCACATAAAAAAAAATTAAAACACTCTTCTTCCGCACAAAATGAAACGATCGTGTGAAGCTGCTTCAGTCAACACGTTGTTTTAATGGAGATCAACGTGCGTAATATATTTATTTTCCAGATCGATTGTTTCTAACTGACAGCTGCACATCAGAGCTGTTTAACTTTAAACTTTATATATTTAAACATGACTTTGTACTGAAGTGTATTTAGGTCTGACACTGTCCCATAATGCAGGGTATCACTTTGATTTCTGGCCAACTCCAAGTGAAATTAATGTTGTTGATTGAATATTCTCTGGTAATAAATACCAGTAGACTAAATCTTTTTCTAATCTGTTTTCTATTGCAGTACTGCAGTAGCAACAGTGTAAACTGATTTGGCAGCAAATAACATAAAAACATATTTATGCAATTTCATTCAGTGATATTAGTAACGCATAACTCAACAGTTTTACAGATACAACACATTCCCTCCGCTGAGAATCTGTATCACTTATTAGGAATCGTCATGAAACAATTTGGCAAAAAGGAGACGAGTCTTACAACCGATTTAAATCTGAAGCTCTGAACATTACCTGCAGGTTAGCTCCATAACATCAGTTACCATGGTGATCTAGCAGCTAAAAAGAGAGCCACTTTTGTGACACTGAAATCTCTGACTTTAGGCTCAACATACCTGCAAACCCCCTAATATTGCTTCGTAGTACAGCCCTCTGCTTCACTTCAAGAATATAAAAATGACAGCTCTTGCGTTTTTTCTCATTTCTAAACCCACCATCAGAGCTTTAATGTTGTCTGATTCCAGACAATCTTATCTACACAAATGGGAAATGGTATTTCAACTTCCAGCATTTTGTGGTGAGATACATGTAAAAACACAACAGTTTCATAATACAAAATGTTTTTTCTTCCTTGTCATAACGGCTAGTATACAAAACCTGTGTCATCATATCAAATGATGAAAGATCTGGATATTTTAGACTATTCTGAACAAAACAAGGTACATATTGTGTGGCTAATCCTTGTGATGACCAAAATAAGAGCTGAAAAGTAAAAGTAGTGAAATTACCCTGAAAATAGCCTCGTAGGGTTAAAGTGTTCCAGCTGCTAACCAGCAGGAGGCTTTTATTGGGACGCAGTTACAGAAAACACACTAATATTTTCTTTGTGGTACAGTTCTTTATATAAAAAAAAAAAACAACAACCAGAAATAGACGCATTTGACACCAGTTTTTAAATACAGCGAGCAGGAATAGTAGAAGGAACATCCTGTGGTCCACCTCATCAAGTAAACAGCTTCTTTTACTTCACTGTGCTGCTCTGTGGACAATAATTTGCTCCAGTGTGTGGGAGGAAGCCAGAGAACCCGGAGAGAACCCACGTTGCACGGGGAGAACATGCAAACTCCATGCAGAAAGATCCCGGGTGTCCTCACCGGGAGGCGAATCGTTGACTTTCTTGCTGTGAGGCGACAGTACTACCAACTGTGCCACCTTGCAGCCCTCCTTAGCAATATGTGACTGAAAAATAAAAAAGATCAAAATGTCATTATATTACAAATATTTGCTTTTTATTTATTTTTGTCTCTTTTCAAAGTTTTTACAGTTTTTGAATGTTACAGTATTCTGACATTTTTTATTATTTATTTTTTCAAGCAATTTGATGCCAGATATTCACTGTTTTTTGTTTATCTGCCACCATTTTACATTTTATTTATTTCATTTTTTTTCCAAAATAAATGCAAGGTGTCCCTTTAGTTATTTGGAAGCTGCACAAACAGTTCTCATGGCATTGTCGTTCAGAACCTCTGATGTGAGGCTTCATGTCAGCATTTTCCACCTCATTCTACACCAGGCAGGGAGTAACACTGTTTTTAAAGGGATTTGGATCCATGTGGCGTTAGTTTTAGTGGAAAAAACACACCAGAAGCTGCAGGTCTTTCATTAAATCAGCATTAATGTCTCTGTTGGATATTTCACAGTACTTTGACCTGGCAGCTGACGTCCTGGCTGAAAACGCACATCTCACCTACAAGTTCCTCTCCCCGGTGAGTTCCTCTGAGTCCAACCATGAGCTGCACCAGCACAGATGATGTTTTTTTTAAAATAACACACTATAAAACACAACTAAAAGCATATTTGTCTTCCTATTAATCATGAAAAGTTTCCTTTGTATGTTTGAGTTGTGTTTGTTTTTCCTTTCCAGTACATGTATGAGTTTCTGGATGCCTTGTTGACCTGCCAGACAGCTCCAGAGGAGGTACAGTAATAAACACCTGACATTTAGTGCAAATCTCTAATTAAAAATAGTAAACTGCCAACAATCTGAGTGGTAAATATGCTAAAACTAACACAGCTTTTAGTTTAGATTGCATAGTACGGCCATGGTGATACAAAAATTTTTTAAAAAGTCAGATTTATATGGTCAAACACGGAAAAATCTACTGAGCATTAGGAGCTCTTGAAACACTGAGACTTTATTTGTAATTTAGTCTGACGTAGTCGTTATTTTTACAGCGCAGCTTTGAGTCTCTGTCTTCTGTTTCTCTTGCAGGCTTTCAGGAAGTTCGACGAGATGAACGGCAAACTCACGGAGCAGCTACGCAAGCTGGCCAAACAGGTTGTTTACCTCGATCTTCTCTTTCTGGACAAACCACTTTAATATGTTCTTGGTTATATGTTGTGGCAAAATATGTAACAAACGCACAGCTTTTGTCACATTCTGTTCATAAAGGGGATGTAGTGGTGTCTTGGTAGGTGAGTTACTTTGGCTTCAACCTCTCTTTTTAAAAGTAATGTAGTGTTTTTTCATGGATTTAATTCGTGGGCTCTGCTTGTACTTTACTTGAGTTTTCCCTTAATTTGCCTTCATGTTCGTCAGATCTTTCCAGTTTTTTTCTCTTCTTCTCTTCCCATCTCATCCAACAGCTTTCAGAAATGACTTCAGCAGACCTGCCAGCTTCTTCTTAAAATAAAATATGATGTACTCTTATAGATAAGGTCAGAGAGCTCTTATAGCGTAATTACAACTGGCTTCACCTCCACTAACGACTGCCTCCCCGTTCATTTATCTGCAGCAATAATCCACTGATATACTGCAGCCCTGACAGGAGCAGTTCTATAAATTACCAGACATGTGAAGTGCATTTTTTTTATTTCCAGTAGGTCATCATCACATGTCACTAAATCTGAATCAGAAAAAAGTTAATTGAAAACCTGTCGTAGATTAAACTGGGACTCAAGTAAACCTCAGAGAAGAGACTTTATAAAGACCTTTTGTTCATCGTGAAAAGATCTGAGTTAGTCGTCTCTGTAGAGAAAAGTGAATGAATTCTTAATGTGCATGTAAGTGTTTATAATAATGAATAAAACCTGGATAAAACATGCAGAACACACACATATGTCGCTGACTCGAAACACACAAACAAAACAAAAAAAACTGAACAGAAAACCTTTAAAGAAACAAAGAAAAGGCAGCAGCATCTCTCTTTAGCATGTAAACAAGTCCAAAGCACTGACAGCTGTTTCTTTTTCTTGTTCATAATCCATTTGTCAAACTTTATTTGTAGAGCACTTTTTATACAGTTTAGTGCAGTTCTAAGTGCTTCACAGATGACTGATAAAGCTATAATAAGTCAGAAACAGTAGGGAGTAAAATAACACTAGATTAAAAAAGAACAGATAAATCTTAGAGACACTGCCGCATCCTGAATCAATAACAGCAAAAGTAAAACTTGTTTTTGTCCGTCTTCTCTAAGGTGCAGGAGGCCCGACTGGCTCGAGACGACGAAGCTCAGAAGAAAGCTCTGCAGGACTATGACCTGATGCAGGAAAAGTGAGGAAACACAAAAACACAAACACAAAACGCTGTGTTTCCATCATTTCAGAGCATCTGGACATTTATCCTAAACATATATAATGCTCTCCTTTATCTAAACTAAACCTTAAACCAAGTCTACAGCCTGAAATTTACACGTTCTTTCTGTGTTCAGCTTTATCTACCGCAGTAATGGCAAAAAAGCATCAAAAATAGCTGTAAAAAATAGTATTACTGATGCACAGATACAGTATTTTAGCATGTACGTTTTACATTTTTATACATTAAAAAGATGCAAAAGCAAATTTATATATGAGCAATAACATGAAAAATAAAAAATTAAAATAACATATTTATAAGAAATATCAGCTGACCTGTGTTTTCTCCATCTGTCTGGAAATGTACTCAAATAATTGATGACTTGTTGCAATTAAAGTGATCTCCAGCTATTTAGATAATTGATTATTCAGTTCAAATATTTTCTAAATTTAAAAAAAGCTATCTGGGGGTTTTTTTTGTTTTGTTTTTTTATGTGAATTTCTTCAGGGTTTCTTTCCCCCTCTATGGCAGTAAACTGAGTATGTTTGGGTAAAACAAGACAACTTAGGCTTTAGGAAACTCTGCTGAATATTTGTCACCCTTTTCTGACATTTTAAACAGTTAATCAGTTATTCCAGATAATAATCAACAGGTTAATCTACAATAAAAATAGTCCTCAGTTGCAGCCTGAAAGGGACAGAAACACAAAAATACAACCTTCAACACTCTTGTTTGGCTCTTATGAATCCATTATTTTAGTCTTCAGTCCTTTCGCTGTCTGTTCCTTCCTCTTCTGGTGACCTGCCTCCTCATCCCTCCTCTCTGATCTGTCGGTTTTATCTCAGGTACATCGTGGTCCTCATGTCACAGGCCAAGATCTACTGGAACCGCGAGAACTTCCAGATGGTGGAGAAGATTTTCCACAAGTCGGTGGAGGTTTGCAACGAGGACGACACCTGGAAGCTCAACGTGGCTCACGTCCTCTTCATGCAGAACAAATACAAGGAGGCCATCGGCTTCTACGAGCCCATCGTCAAGAAGCACTACGATAACGTGAGTGAACAGGGATGAGGGAAATGTGGCGGTCCATCAGCACAGATAAGAAATCAGAGCTAAACGTTTGACTTTCTGTCCAGGTGGAGCAGTGTAACATTCAGGAGTGTCCCTGCAAGTGCAAACCCTCGGTAACAGTAAAGACCAAACAGCTGGTTGTGTTCCTCTGCAGTGTTTTCACATCTGTGCATGACGTTTGTTTCAGCAGATCTCCACTGCTGCTGTTTTCGCGTGGGGTTTTTAAAAAATGTTGTTTGTTTGTATGATTGCAGTGGTGTCTCTGATAATTCTCATCTCAGAGAATATTTAATTTTGTCCAGTTTCACAAAATTAACCCTCTGAAGAATTTTCTGAGTGACTGCAATATAGAATCCTGCACAATCATGGAAGGAGCAAGAACTGAGAAATGTCTTCTGTTCAGCGTGACAGAGTTAGAATAAGAAGATGTGCAAAAAGACACAAAAAGTTGCAAAAATAACACTAGAAATACACTAAAAGGTGCTAAAATGGCACAAAAGATGCCAAAATAACAAACAAAAATGACACAAAGGCACAAGAAGATGCAAAAAATTGCATAAAATACACAAGAAGTGCATAGATTACGCAAAACAGGGCACAAGAACATGTAGAAACAACACAACAATGCAAAAAAGACAGCAAGAAATCAAAAATGTCCAAAAACATATAAATATATGTCGATATAAAATCCTGCTCCTCTATTGAAACACAACAACCATGAAGAAGGAGAGAGAACTCAGAAATGTCTTCTGTCACTATGACACAGTTAGAATGATGGAAATCATTGAAAAGAATAGTTGGATTATGATTTGTTTTGGTAATAACTTCACATACTACAGATATTTCACTATTTTCATGTTTCACCGTGCTGAATGTATCCTCCAGCATCTTGCTCCTCTGTATACTATTTCTGAGCCATGCTGCATTTATTTTATTGATCCAGTTTGTTTACTTTCCTCTCAGTCTCTCTCGTCGCCTCCTCTCTGCTCTGTGGAAACACTGCCTGCAGTTCAACCAGAAATTCAGGATGTTTTCACTGTTGGATGCAGCTGAGGCAGTCATGGCGTCTTTTTTTCATACAGGATATGGTGCAAAGTGATTTTGATAAAATATTGTGGTTTTAAGATTAGATTTAGTCAGTTTTCTCAACAGCATGCAACTGAAAGGTCCAAACTGATGAATGAATGTGTGTTTCCTGTAGATCCTGAACGTGAGCGCTGCAGTTCTGGCCAACCTGTGTGTGTCCTACATCATGACCAGCCAAAACGAGGAGGTAACGTAGAAAACTTTGACACAGTACCATCAGTTTTATTCTAGAGATCTATACTCTCACTCTGACCAGTTAGAGATTCCTATAACTCAGACTAATTAGTCTAACAGCTGCAGATATGACTTGTCTGAATTGTTGCGGTGAGACTATGATGTTGGTCCAGCAAAGCATTTGAACAGTGTTTGCAGCCATAATAGGGGCCGTTGTTTTGGATTAGATGAGCAAGGAGTTTTTCGAAGAACTAGAGCTTGGTTCATCAGAGAAATGTGGTCGACTTTTACCAGAACTTCGTGCTCAGGCTGCTCTGAAATTGCAGTTAACCAGCCGCCATGTGCGATTACAGTTTCAGGTCCATAGTATGTTTAAAAAGCAAACTGCCTCTGACTTGCCTTCGCCTCAGACATAACTACGAATACCTGCAACCTGGTCAAAACGCTAATTCAAGGCATCTGTAATTACATGTTACAAGGCAGAACTGCAGTTTGAGATCTACAACATCAGTCTGATCAGTTCAAACTTAGTATAAGAATGTAAACAGGACAAACTAGACATGCTGAACTGAGGGGAATTGAAGATATCTTTAACTTAAGTTATGACTAGTTGGAATTAAAATATAGATATCTGATACTGGAATTACAGCACGTCAGAACTCAGCTTATATTTAGAAAAAATAATCATTTGAATTACACACTTTGAAATTGGTCAAAGTTGTTGATTGACTAATAAAGGAGTTCTGTTGCTCTGCACTCGATTGCTCTTCCTGACTGACCTGGATGTGTCTCTGTGAAGTGACACTGAAATTCAGGAACTGAACTTGAATTGTGAAAACTGAATGTGAAAGTGTGCAGAAAGTTAGGTTTTCTACTATTTTGAGCAACTGAATTCAGTTTCATAATATTCAGTTCAATTTGTTTAATGCAATTTTATTTGAGTGACTCAAATTTGGATATAAATTATTCAAAGTCAGTTTCTAATGTCACGTATTTCTTCCCCTAACAATACTTCAGAAAAGCAAATCCTTTTTACCTTTTTTATTATTAACAATCTTTAATATTTAGTGTTCTTTAATATATACAAAAATGTGTACTTTTGTTTTCCTGGTGCAATAGACATTGTTTACATTTTATGCTTATGATTTTCTGTTTTTGTTTATATTTTGTGGAAATAATTTCTACTCATGTTTATCTTTTTTTTTTACTGCTTAAATTTCTAAGACTTTTAATGGGTGTAACTGTAAGCAATTTCCCCTCCATGAAGTGTTTCTGATTCTGGGCTGATTCTGATTTCTCAAGCGACACATTTCCTATTCTGTCCCTGTGTTGTATAATTTACAAAAAAAAAACTCCATCTTTTACCAACTTTCCCTTCGCTCCCTCTCAGGAATGCGGACAAGCGCTCTACAAGAAGAATCCTGAATATTTCATTATACTACGTATTAACTGTAGGCGACTCAACCCACAGGTTTCCATGCAAGCTACAAAAGTTTTTTTGTTCCCAAAAAATTAAATTCAAATTTATTTATGTCTCCTTATAAATATTAAGGAGGAAAGGGGATGAGAAAGCATTAATATTCTGATGGAAGACTGAATTAATTTCCTCACAAAGAGATTTAATAACGGTAAAGATATAAGAGGCAGAGTAAAATTTTCATTTTGTGCACAGAGATGGTTCAGTGAGACTTGTGTAGAGATGCTGTTACTGCACATAACAATATAACTCGGCTATTTGTTGATTCTTAAAGTGCATTTTTCTTATAATTCTCCAGTTTTTTTTCTTTGTGGTCAACCGTATGTTGTTCCTTATACCATTCCTGAGATGATTTAACTTTTTCCTAATTCGTGTGACTTTGTTGACCTGATTTAACAGGCTGAAGAGCTGATGAGGAAGATTGAGAAAGAGGAAGAGCAGATCTCCTACGATGATCCAGACAAAAAGGTTTTCCACCTGTGCATCGTGAATCTGGTCATTGGGTGAGTTTTGGCATAAAAAGAACAGAGTCCGAGCAGCAAAAAAAAACATCTGGTTGTAGATACAGAACTTTAAAATGTAGGAAAGTCCTGCTCAGATATTCTGAAGTAACTTAAAGAAGCTCAGAGTTATTATTTAGGTGTTTTTTGTGCTTCTATTTTCAAGTAAATATTAGAGAAATTACAGAAAACAAAAGGACAGAATTTTTTAATATTAAGAATGTCAAGTGCAACAAATTAACCCTCTGAACCTCAAAGCCCACCACTGGGTTTGAAAGGCAGGTTGTTGTTTTTTTAAATGGCAGAAATTGAACCATTTTCACAGTCAGAAAACATAAAACTGAAAGAATTCTCTGATTTTCTGTTTTACAAAGGTCCTTGAATGTATCATGGGTGAATGGCAGTTTCATCAGTAGAAGAAAACAAAATCTAAACTCTCAAAAACACTTTATTTTATTTAATTTGTCAAGAGTTTATTGTGTCATTTAAAAATTCACCAACAAAAAACTCTTTGCATTAGATTCTGTGAAAAAAATGTTTAAAAAATAAAACTTCTGAGCTCCTCGGCACAACGAAGAAGCCATCATTGGTTTAGCTGTAAGCAGCAGGTTTTCAGGTTGAACTGCAGGCAGTGTTTCCACAGAGCAGAGAGGAGACGACAAGACACTGAGAGGAAAATTGAACGTACTGGATGAAATAATTATAAAATAATTATAAAATTATAAAATTGCAGCATGGCTCAAAACAGTAAACAGAAGAGCAAGTTGTTGGAAGATACATTCAGCATGGTGAAACATCTTTCTGCAGCTGATGTACACAGTAGAGAGAAAAAATTGTAAAGGCTGTAAACATGAACATGGACAATTTTGTTTGTGTTTTTCTTTCAGGACACTGTATTGTGCAAAGGGGAACTATGACTTCGGCATCTCTCGCGTCATCAAGAGTCTGGAACCTTACAATAAGAAGGTCGGCCTTTTTGTTGTGCTGTCAGTCACCTTTAGAGACTATATGATCCATTTTTTTCCCTTTTTTTTCCTTTTTTCTTTGTTGTCTAGGGTACTAGAAAAAAATCTGAAAAAAAAAAGTTGTAATACTGTAATGCTTAAAAATTGCAAAAGTAACAGCAAATATCTGAAAAATATTGTTATTTTTTCGCAGATTTACATATGTGATTATTATTTTTATAAAAATCTAAATTAAAAATAAATATATATTTTAGTAAATGTATAATTTGTAATTTAACAAACAGGGTGAAACTGTAGAATTTCAAATTGTTCAAAAAGTGACACTTAAAAACTTTATGATGTGATGTACGTTACCATTTATTACATTTGCATAAAAGTGCACTATTATTTCCTCAGTCGAGCTGCTTCCTCTGGACTTCCATCTTCTCTGGCTATACTCAGAGATCTAAGGTTACTAATTACTGTTACTTGGCTGTCACAGGGCCAGCTGACCAATCAGAGCAGTCTGGGCTCTACAGGAGGCAGGCCTTAAAGACACAGGAGCTAAAATTACCTTTCAGATAGAAGAGGTGCTGCTGCAATGTACAATGTGAGGAAAGTAACATGGTTTTTTTTTTTAGAATTAAAGCCTGTAAACATATCTTAGTAGACCCCAAAATAATATTAGAAACCTGTAAATGTGAGACTATTGGCTCTTCAAATAATAAATCACCTTTCATGGCAAAAGGTGTTCAAACCCTTCAGAATAGTTTGGTTTTCTGCATCAGTTGGTCATAAAATGTGACACAAATGTAGATAATTCCACTTTCCACATATTTTTGTGGACAGCTATTGGATTTCCAAATGCAAACGCACCGTCTTTTCAGTTTCCGACCAAAAATAACCACCTGAGCCCTGCTGGGGTTTGTTTCTGAGGAGGCCGAGCTGCTCCTTTTGGGGCCTTTTGATCGGGTCCAGTCACAACACAAGAGTCGGGCTGCAGCTGAGTCCACTAAGCTCCAGCTGAGAACACAAGCCGTCATCCTGAGTGTTTCCCCTTCAGTCCTCACAACAATCGCCGCCACAGAGTCGCACTCGCAGTGAAAGCAGAGACGAGTTCAGGAATGTGAAGCCTGGCGAGACGCACGACCGTCACGCCAGCTTCTCACAACCTGGACATCATGTCTGGTTAGATAATGTCTGGTCATGTCCTCAGACCGATTCACATGAGAGTGTCGATCCAACACACTGTCCTCAAACCATGACTTTTAAATTTAAAAAACCAAACAGCTGGCAGGAGATCGGGTTTACTGTCTGGTTTTATAAAGATACATGTTGTCATGATAACATTCTAACAAATCCATGTAAGTAATAAGTTTGTTCGTGTGTGTTTTTGTGTTTGTGTGCGTAGCTGGGGACGGACACATGGTTCTACGCCAAGCGTTGTTTCCTTTCGCTGCTGGAGAACATGTCCAAACACATGGTCATGCTGAGGGACGCCGTGGTACAGGAGTGTATTCAGTTCCTGGAGCACTGCGAGGGTGAGAAGCAGTCACACAAACACCTGCAGAAAGACTGGATCACTGTACAACAGCACCAACATTTCAATTATACACAACAAGCAGCAGGTTTTAGTGGTGGATATACAACTGCAGAACCATTTTTTTTATCAGAGCTTTGACAGATAAGGTGTAAATTTACTTTTTTATACAATTTTTCTCCCAACTCTGTAGCAATTGCAACTTCTAATTGCAACAATGCTTGAGATAAAAATGATTAAGAAGGAATGGATGGATGATATGACAGCTCCCCAGATGTGAAGCCAAAATGTCTTGATGGCCCCCTGTTGGCTGGTTGCAAGATAGGTTATAAGCTAAACCCCTTTCCATATTAGCTGTGAAGCATGGTGGTGGCAGCATCATGTTGTTTCACAGCAGCAGGCCCTGGAAGGATTGTAAAAGTATAGGGCAAAATAAATGCAGCAAAGTAGAGAGAAATCCTGAAGAACAAACGGATGCAGTCTGGAAGAGAACTGTGTCTTAGGAGAAGATTTGTTTTCCAGCAAAGACAATGAGCTGAAACAAAGAGTGAAAGCTGCATAGAAATGATTTAGAGACAACACCTGACATTTTTGCAAAGAAGAATGGGGTAAAATTGTAGTGTCCATAGTTCTATTTTTATCTAATTGACATTACCTTGTAGAAATCAGTTTTCACTTTGACATGAAAGAGTCTGTTTTTCCTAATATTTTTCTCAATAAAAGCCAAATTACAATGACCATAATTCAGTGTGGAAAAGCAATACAAGGCAAAAACTTTGGGATGAATTATTTTGGTAGGCACCATCAATCCTGTTCCACCTGAGATGATTGTAGTATAACTCCAGTTTCTTTGCAGTTTATGGGAAGGAGGTGCCGGCCATCATCGAACAGCCTCTGGAGGAGATCCGCATCCACATCGGCAAAAACACCGTCACCTACGAGGCTCGTCTGCTCAAGGCCCTGTTCTACGAGGTCATCGGCTGGAACAAGTGACAGCATCACTCACTGCCGTAATGTCAATTGGAAAGCAGCCGGAGGTGCCGTTTTGTTGGATATGAAGGATAATAGAAGACAATCAGCACATAAACTCACTGATGTGTTCTCAGTCAGGTCTGGAAATCATCTTCCAGCTCCTGACTTCCCTCTGGGCAGCTTTTGGACTCACTTCGCTGAGCTGGGAGAGTTTTGGCAGAAGGATATAATCTCAGTCTGATCCAGCAGATCTTACATAACTGTTAGAGGAGGCTCTGACCTCAGCTAAACTCTTACAGCCACTCATATATCAGAGGTGATCTGTTTTTATTAGCACTAATACTCAGAGCAGGCTTTGGTTTTATTAGTTAGTCTTTATTCTCGTCACATAACTTTACACGACAACAATAGTGTTATGTAAGTTCATCTACATACATTCATAGTTCATGCAGACCCTCTTTGGTCAGTGCTGGACTGCCGCCTTAATACTCCAGTGGCTTTATGTTCAGCTGGTTACATGTTTGTGAAAAGCAAAAACATATTTTAAAGAAAATAAAGACGTTCTTGTTATTTTTGGAAACAAATCTGAAGCGTCTGCATCTGTAAAATAACGTTAGCTGATTTTGATGTTGCTTTTGTAGCATTAAGTAAACGCGTTTCAAATAGAGATGCTCCATTTAGGGTTTTTAGTTTTGATATTATCATTTAATATCAGCATCAAGTAACAGAAAAATCCTAACTCACACTTCAACAAGTCATAAAGTCTCTAATCCCTCTAAATACACAACAAACTTATGTATCTTCGGTATTGATGACATACTAATTACAAGTATTTTCTCCTCCCAGATGTCTGAAATCAACACAGGACCTGCCGAGAGAAGTAAAATTTTTCCAAAAAACATGCATGTCACACAGGAAATCTATGTTCAGCTCACTTCTCACTCCCAAGGTTTGTCCTGGAGCTGCTAAAACGAAAAGAGAACCTCTGATTCTCTGACAGTTATATCAAGCTTGTCATAAAATATCAGTGACTGCAGGGTGTGGCTGCACAAACCTACAAGCAAACATTTGTTCTCTGTCTGGAGTTTTTGTCTCTGACCATAAAAGTTTGTTGGCTTTTGAGGTACAAAGCGATTTTCTACAAATTAGTGCAGAAAGAAATGTAGTAAATTTGCACAGAAGCTGAACACAAAGATCAGATTTACTTTTTTTCAATTATAAATGAATTGTAACAAGTATCTGATCATTTCTGTTAGGATTGGAGCATCACTACTTTTATATTGGGATTTAGTATTTATACATGATTGTAGGAGATCAGGTAAAACTCACATGATCCAATATAATATATATGCAAGTATAGTATAGTAAAAAAAAACTCCTTAGTATCCATTTTGTGCCAAACAGCCACAAACATCCCAGCGTCTTATTACAAAATTCATCATCTATGTTCATGAAGTAACGTGTTGAGTCGGAGTGAGTCTCTGTCACTGAGGAACATCTCTACCTGATGATCTATGTCTCGAGTTCACTCCTCCCTGCAGGGTGAGGAATGTGGGAGGTTCAGGACAGCGGCCTCTTCGTTATGTCCTGCTCCGTCAGGTAATAGTTCAGGTATCCTCCCAGAGCGCCCACAGCCACCGCCGTCATGTGACTGGAACAGCCGTCTGTCAGACCAGAACAGGGGGACTCAAGTAACAATGAAGCCTGGAACATCAACGGAGTCACAACGCTACCTCATAGGTGATTGTTCATGTTTTCAGATCAGGGAAAAACATGTTTTCTTTCTGACTAATGGACAGAAAACTTACAGAATCCACATTTGAGTGATTATTTTACAACACTTTGTCACTTTACATCTGTAGAGTTCTGTTACAATACATATCTTTAAAAATCATTTTTTCTCAGTTTTGTAACTAGCTGTTGCAGAGGACCAGCTATTTATCCCCATCCCCAAATCACGTAGCTCACAATCTGTTAGTATCCTGAGACTCACATGTCTCAAGCTGTAAACTGTGGTAAAACTGCCTGGGGATGGGTGGTTTGTGGTGTCAATAATGTTGAAACTGCTTTGTGAGGGAAGACTCAAGGCCTTAATGGTGGTAAAACCGCCTGAAAAGGGACGACTCACTGTGTAAATTGTTTTAAAAACCCACCTTAGGTTATCTGAGGAGCAATAACCTGAGGTATAAGTGGCTGTAAAACTGCCTGAGGGTTGACTCAAGGTGTACATGGTTGGGAAATTCCCTTGCGAGGAAAGACATTAATAGTGGTCAAACTGCTTTGGAGGGATGATACAAGGTGTTAGTGGTGCTCAAACTGCCTGGGGAGGAATCTCTTGAGATATCACTGGTGGTAAAGCTGCCTGCGTGATAGAGAGGGATCACTCAAGATGGTGATTGTGATGAAAACTGCCTGGGGAGGAACAACTCAGTGTGTTAATGGTGATTAAAGTGTGCGGGGAGGGCTGCCCTGCTTAGAGTTACATTTGACCTACAAAAGAAAACTGCAAATGAGTACAATCGTGGCATTTTTGTGCACAATGGTTGAGTACCTGCTGATGTTAACACAAACTGACCTGGCAGTATCTTCTCCCTCCTCTTCACTCTCCTGTGAGGCTGCAGCTGTTCCAGCAGCTCATCTCCAATAATCTGAGAGATGATGCTCTCTGAGGAAACACAGCAGAGGAAATAAACTGCACATCAAAGTAGCAGTAATTTAACTATTAAATCAAATAATTTAATGCAGATATTTTCCGAGATATATTATTTGCTTAGAAACTCTTTGAAAATAAAGTTGGCAAATGGGACAGTAGTGGAAAAATATATTAAGATATGCATATAAGTAAAAATACTAATACAACAATGTTAAAATACTCTTGTTTAAAGTACGGTATTCATAATCCTACCTAAGAAAAAGCACAGTGTTTATTTGCAGCAAAATACACTTAAAGTATAAAAAGTACTCAATGTTATTAAAGCTGTGTTGTAAAAAGAAAAAAAATACATTTGTTGACATCAAAAATCTGGCCTTTCTTTTTTTTTACACAGTCAACATGTAAGCTCATATTTTTTTTCTGTAACTTTATTAAATATTATCTATACTTTAACAAAAATGGGAAAACAATATAAACTCATTGTTTAAAAAAGTAATTTTACAGTCAAGTGTTATAAAAGAAAAAATTATTTGTAAAAATACAGATTTTTGACCTGTTTTTTTTTTGTTGTTTTTGTTGTTTTTTTTTTACAGCGAACATGTAAATTAAGAAATCGATAATCTATACAAATCTGTGAAATAACAGTAAATTGCTCCTAAAATACAGTTGGAAAGTGCTAAAAAAAAAAAAAAAAAAAAGAACACATCTTTTTCCGTTTTTTTAACCCCTTTCAAAGGGTCAGAAGATGAAGACTACAAATATGGCCGCCACTCATCTAAATAACTTAAAACTCAACACTCCACTACCTCGGATCCCCAGTCATGCACTTGCTGAGGTTGTATAGCTGTCGAGTCACGCAAAGAACAAACCTACAACAGAGACTTCTTTATGTTAAAATAAGATGTTTAAATAACCTAAAAAAAATTGAGATATTCATATAGCGACACAGCATGATGAGGATTAAGAGGATATATTTGCAGGTTTAGTAGCATGTAACTGGTTTAGAGTCATTTGTTTTTATGACTGATACTCACTGTCTCTCCCAAAGCAGCCCACTTCCTCATCCTGCAGCCTGAGGATGTGCTGCAGCCAATCAGCTTTGTGGAAGTCGGAGAAACCAGCCAATCCGCAAATCAGGACTGTCAACAGAGAGGAGCTCAAGTCGGTTAGAAACACTCTTCCAGCTTACATTTATAGCTTCAGAAAAGACCTTTAAAGGATTTGGCAGGTTTCCTTTGTACATTGGATTTTCACTCATTAAAAAACAGAGACTAAGACAAAAAAAACAAACTGCAGCAATTAATTATTAATTTTTTAGCTGTTTTGAAAGCATGAAAATGACCGGAAATAAAGGATCCTACATGACAGGAACAATTACACATCATACGCAGTTTGAAATCAGTAAAAATATTCAAATACAAGCGAGGTGATGATTGAGCATACACAAAAATGTATGCAATTTGCCACATGATGCTCAAATTACGTGTCATGAGAGGAAGATGCCGGCGACACTCACTGTTCTCGATGAAGATGTCGACGGTCTGTTCGGTCAAGCCGTCTTTGATGATGTCCTGGTTGGTCTTCATCATGTTGGAGCAGAAGATCTTCTGGTAGTTCAGTTCGGTCATGTTGGCTCTGGATGCTCTTGTGTCGCCTTTCAGCAGGTTGGTGCAGCCGCGCTGGAATGAAAATACAGACCAGTCAGCGTCTAATGTCTGGAGTTGAGCTTAGAGATTCACTTCAGACTGAAATCTTTAAAGCTCGCCTTCACTTTAGATAATTGTGTCTAAAGGTTCTTTTGGTGTTCCTCAAGGCTTCATCCTCAGTCCTCTGCTGTTCTTTATTTAAATCCCAGGAGTCGATTGTACATTATCTCATAGTTACAATACATTACCCATCATTATTATAAGATAAAGCTCTAAATGTTCCCTTTGTTTCGTAATATGTTGCAAAGATTTCTGAAGTTTTTGTTTGTTTTTTCATTTTTTGTTCATTGTCGTACTTCTCACCATTTTTCCTATTATGAAGTAGAGAAGCTGGTGGAACAGGTAGTGGTGTGTCAATCCTTAATGTAATGACTTTTTTTTTCCCAAAAATGGCAAATATCTGTAAAATTATGTTATATTTGGGGATGTAAATAGAGGTTGTTTTTTTTTTAATTACCATTACCATTTTTTTTAAAAAAACAAAAAACATTTTGCGATGTGGTGGTTATTTATATTTTAGACCAGTTCATATTTCAAGTTATCATGCAAATGAATATTTTGTTCTGGGATTTTTATTAGTTATTATCTGGGATTTCACAGAGAAAATCTGTAAAATAACAGTTGTTCAAAAAATTATAGTTAACAACTGTTTTAACAAGTTTGAAAGAACTGACACTGCAGCATGACGATTATCAGTCATAATTATGACTTCATTATGGCTCCAAACGTTCTCCTTTTTCTGAATCCATATAAATTCTGGGTGTTTTGCTACAGTTCTCACCATTCTTCCGATCATGAAGTAGAGCAGCTGGTGGGACAAGGAGTAGTGTGGGCAGCCGAAGCGAGTCATGGTGTCCCGGCAAGGTTTGGTGACGATGCAGGGCGTCCCGTTCATTTTCCTGTCCAGAAAAACAGAAACACATCAGTCAGACAGGTGAGCATCCTCACTCTGCAACAAACAGGTACATTTAGTTATAGGAGTGAAGAATGCAGTTCTGCAAAGTTGCGTTTTAGGATGTTTTTGCCAAATAAACAGTTAAAAACTGATCAATCTACAGAGACAAAGACACAACATGCAGCAACATAGTCTCACTTTAAACCTAAAAAACATGGTGAGGACATGGCAAACTGTACATTTTTTAACTCAGGCTTTTCTGCAGAGGTTATTTCAGTTTGTATCGCGGGTTCATACCAGGTTCCCAGCAGCAGAGTCAGACATTTGTCGCTGAGCTGCTCGTCGTAGCACTCGGTGGTCATGGTGGACGGATAAACCAGGCTGGGGTCAGTGGAGCTCCACTCAGGAGGAATCAGCCAGAAGCTCCACGACAGCAGAGGCTCAAACTCTGGAGGGAAAAAGTCAGCGATGAAGCCACCAGAACCTCAGACTGGACCTCTGTAAGTGAAAGCTTTCCCTGCTGCTCACTCCTCATGAATTGTCAGTTATTTTTTAAACCGACTACAAACCATTATCTACAACTATTAAAGCCCAAATACTGTTTTCATGACTGCACCTGATGTCTGCACTTCAACCAGACAAACAACTTGTTTCCACAGAGCCGATCAAAATCACAGTTTAATAAGAAACAAGGAACTCCGTCTACAAGTGAAATAATATCAGTTTGTTCTTTGAGTACAGTGCACGTTGCACTGTTACTGTGACTCTATTTTTAAGGATTTTTATAATCATTTCCTGCTGTTATTGCACAACCTTTGTTGACTCGTCATTTTGCATTTTACTGCTCCTACTGAGGAGCGTGTCACAAAAAACATCTGTTGAATCTTGAACTTTGAGCAAATTAGCCAACAAACAGAGCACTGTGTACTGACTCTTGGTCTTTAACAGGGTTCGTATCATTTCATTTGAAGACAGTACCTTGTTTTTTTCCATTTAACACAAACCAAGACTTCCTGGATCTTTTTATTTATGTATTTACACCTGCCTGATTGTCCATAACCGCCACGCAGCACTTCATTCTTCTTTAGTAAACTGTCAGAGTTAAAGTTTAACTATGAACAATAATCCACATTAACCTCCTGCTAAAGTCTTTTCTAATTTATTAAACATTCATTTTTCAGTCCAGAAATTTACTTGTAAACTTTTTTTTTTTTTTTTTACATTATTTTCATTACTTAGTGATCTGTAGATGATTTTCTTGATTAATCGATTTGTTTCAATTATTTTACTGTATTTTTAGTTTCCCTGCTACTGGAAAATCACCCATTTTTTTTACCTTATTGTACAATTTTTTTCTTACCATGGAGGTATGTTATTCTTTTGCGTGTTTCATATTTTGACTGCGTGTTTTCCTGTGAAGCTTTATCTCTCAGCCCCTCTTGCTTGTATCAGTACCCTGATACCTTGCAGTGCACTGAAGCCTTATTTTGTCTCTTGAAAGTCCAAACAAATACTTCTGCGGGGGCCTTGAAGTGCCTCTTTAATGGATAAAACTTTATCTAACAGCAAGACTAAACAGAGACACCCTGACCTGCTCCTCTTGTACCTTTGCTGGGAGGTTTTATGAGACATAAACTTGTCAATAAGGCTGAGAGCGACTTTATAACTTCAGCTGTTTTCACAGGAAGGCAGGAGTTCTGTGTGCAGTAAATACTTCTTTGTGAATGTACTCACGGTAAATAATAAAGTATCCTGTACAAAAATGAAAATCTGGCAACAACAGAAACAAAAAACAAATATGTTAAAAAAAAGTTTGGTACACTGCAAGGTTCAAAAACAATAGAAAAAAAGAAAATAACGTCAAATATAATCAAAATAATATTTTTAGTGACAGTAAAACCGTTTAATTTTATAATCACACACTGTTTAAAAAAAAATCCATTATCTGTAATTTACCACAACTGGCAAAATCTATAAAACAACAGTTTAAAAGTCAAATTTTACGCTAAATGTTGTCAAAGAATGAATTACCATTTGAAACAATACAGATTTTTAATGGGAATGTTATTTACAGTTTTGGCCTATTTTGTTTTTTGTTTTTTTTAACAGTCAACATGTAATTTTTTTTTTCTAGTTATCATCTGTAATTTAACAAAACGGAAAATCTGTAAAATATCGTTAAACAATATTTTTCAAGTCTTAATCTTTTTTTTCAAATAACAGCAAACATCTGTGAAATAATGATATTTTTGGTGATTTGAATACAGTAAAGAAAATAGTATAATTTTACGGTCACACGTTAGACAAGAAAAAATTAACAACTATAAAAATACAGATTTTGATGTGGGCATGATGCACAGTTTTTGCCTGTTTTTATGGTCAACATGTAAATTAATAGTTTTTTCTGTGATTTTACAAGTTATTTTCTGGAGTTTAACAAAACAGGGAAAATTTGTAAAATAATACTGAATTGTTAAAAAAAAACAACACTTAAAACATCTTTTAAAAATTCATTTTTTTCACGAATTGGGGAGATAGGAATGCTGACTTAGTTGATCCCTGTTAGATAGAACACAAGAGCACTGGTCAGAGATCATGAAGCGTCACACAAGTCTTTGTCATGGTGTCTGTTACTAGCTAAACGACTGCCTGTAGTCGGAGTGACGCCTCACCTGCTCATTTAAAAGCTTAAAATAAATGAATTAATAATAACTCAGTAATCTTAGAAGGCAGTCAGCCTCGTACCTCAGGATTTCTTAGTAATGGAGTCCATAAGTCTCACCTCTGTAGTATTTGGGGTCATTCTGTTTTATAGCAGCGACAGCCTTTTCCAGGTTTTGGTCCAGACGTCTGACCAGAGTGACGGCGGTGGTCCTCTGAGCCCAGCTCACCGGGTCGGTGTGAGGCCACGTCCGGACCGCTTCCTTCAACTCAGCTGAAAACCAAAAGCAAACCAACGCAGAAGAAGAGCATTCAGTTACAGTTCCTACAAAGACTAACAATTTCATTTTAAAATGAAAATCTCTACACAGTAATGTCAACTAATTCAAAACATAAAATGTAAAAAAATAAAAAATGGCTGACTTAATTCAACACAGGCGTTGCCAATCAGTGCCAGAAGTCAGACAGTTAGTGAAATAAGGATCATCTGAGTGCAGGAATGTGTCTCAGTGATTGTAGTAGTGAATCCTCGATAAAACTGCACCATGAAGACAAAAGAACACTCAAAGCAACTCAGTGAAAAGGTTACAGATGGATACAAAAACATTTCCAAGTCACTGAACACCTTGGAGTCCAGTTAAATCCATCATTAAGAAATGGAAGGAATATGACATGTGGAAATCTGCCTTGAACAGGTCGTCCTCAAAAACTTAGGGACCGAGCAAGAAGACGAGTGATGGAGGCCACCAAGACACCTATGACTCCTTTAAAGGAATTAGAAGCTTCAGCAGCTGAGATGGAAGAAACTGTTCATACAACAACTGTTTCCTGTTCTTCACCAGTCAAAGCTTTATGGGAGAGTGACAAAGAGAAAGACACTGTTTTTTTTTTTTTTTAAAAGTTAATATAAGATCTGTACTGCAGTTCACCGGAAGACATGTGGGAGACTCTGAAGACGACTGGAAGAAGGTTCTTTGGTCTGATGAGACCAAAATGGAGCTTTTTGTCCATCAGACTAGATGTGATGTTTGGCAAACACAAAACACTGCACATCATCACAAACACACCATCCCCACTGTGAAGCATGGTGGTGGCAGCATAATGATGTGGGGATGTATATACCCCTAATATACACACACTTTACTTTCAATAATCGCAAATATCTGTAAAATAACAACACTTTCTGGTGATTTAAATACATTTACAAAATTGCAAATTACCATTTGTTAAAATACAGACAATGGATGAGGACGTTATTTACAGTTTGAGCAAGTTTTTGTTGTTGTTGTTGTTTGTTCAGGAGTTATTTTATAGTTTTCATGTTAATCAAAACCTTTACTGGTGATTTTACAGGTTATCATCTGTAATTTAGCACACCAGGAAAAATCTGTGAAACAAGAGTAAACTAGTACAGAAATGACTATTATTAACTGCTAAAATGTTGTTTTTACAATCTAAGTCATGCAGCAGAAGGTTGAACTTGTTGTTAATCATATTTTGTCTTATCAATATGAATCTGCAACATAACAAATAACTGAAGCTGTGAGAGCACAACAATGGCCTCTGTGGAAATGAAGCAACAACAAACTTGAGTAAATGTACTTAGTTACTTTGCACCACCGCAGGATAAATACTCCACAGACACATCAGCTGTTTTTATCCGAATTTGCCGTGAAGTAAAAGGTGCAGCACTTCCTTCAAAACGCTGTTTTTTTTCCTTCAGTGAATCTTCGACGAACAGCAGCTGCGCTCCAGATGTTGCAGCAGCTGCAGAGGTGACCTACCCTGCAGCATGACGAAGCCCACCACCCCGTCCAGGTTGATGTGCTCATGCTGCCGCTCCAGGAAGGACGCTCCCCGGGAGAGGCTGCCCAGGATGTCATCGATCACCTCCGCCTGCGAGCCGCTCAGCGCCGCGGCGAGCAGAGCCAGAGCCGCCACCGCCAGCCGGAGCCCCGCTGCCCGCATTGTCGTCGCTCGGAGGGTCCCGGTGTGGAGGCAGACCGACGGGGTGAAGAGCGGCGGAGGACGGGCCGAGTCTGCTTTATGGGGGGTGGAGAGGTGGGTGAGGAGGGTGGGGGGGAGGAAGCGGCCGTGACGTCACAGGGACCATCATTACGAAATATGGTAAACAACATATTTTATTTTTACTTTTATGGACACAAAATTATTATATGTGTGCACAAATACATCACCTACAACCTCCCATCATCATCATCATCACATTAAGGGAATATCTCAGTAAGGAGAGAAAGTGGAGCCCAACTTATTAATTATCTCATTACTTTTTTGTTTTTAATAAACTCAAACAAAATATTCAGTTTGTGAACAAACAGCTGCAATAGAAACAGATCCATTCATTAACCTAACTTAAAAATAACAATATTGATTTTAATTTTTTTTTGTATTATTCATGAATAAATGAATCAAAGCAAAGTTTATTAAAACAAAATTTAATTTGGCATCATGTTTGTAGCAGCTTATATATTCACAGTCTAAGAAAAAAAAAGTTAAAAGATCATGTAAATAAGAAAATAGCAATAAAATAAATACTCTATTAACCCTCCTATTACCTTCAAATTTACTGACATCTTTTATCCTTGGGTTTAGTTTGACTCCCAGCAATTTAAACCTCCAGAAAATATCATAATTAAAATTGTTACCCAAGTTTATGTGTGAATAGCCCTTTAAGTAAAACTGAAAAATGACTTATTTAGAGATGTTGTAGTCTGGTGGTGGGAGCTCCTCTCTGCCAGAGGGGAGGGCGGTAAATAGAGAGTGTCCTGGGTGGGTGGGGTCATTCTGGATCTTTGTGGCCCGTCGGAGGAGACGGCTCTACCAGATCTCCTCTAGGTGTGGGAGCCAATGGTCCTCTGAGCCGTCTTGATGACCCTTTGAAGTTGTTTCCTCTCCGATGCCGTGCAGCTGCCACACCACACTGTACATCCATCAGGTAGGACACTCTCTGTTGTGCAATGGTGGAGGGAGTTTGTTCCTCCTCAGCGTTCTGAGAAAGAAGAGACACCACTGGGCCTTTCTGAGAATGTGGGTGGTGTTCACAGTCCAGCCCAGACCCTCTGAGATATGCAGAAAGTTAAAGTTCGTGACCCGCTCCACTTCTTCCCCATTGATGCTCAAGCCTGAGTCCAATGTGGTCCTTGATGTCTGAAAGTCAATGATGACTTCTTTTGTCTTCGTGGTGTTGAGGTTGAGGTGGTTGTCACTGCTCGTTGTTGTTACTGATCAACCCCACGATGGTTGTGTCATCCGCAAATTTGATAAGAGTATTGGAGCTGTGGGTGGCACCACAGTCATGGGTGTACAGCGTGAAAAGAAGTGGACTCAGGATAGCGCCCTGGGGAACACCAGTCTTGAGGACGATGGTGGAGGATATGGAGGTGGCCATTCTGACATGCTGGGCTTGGTTTGTCAGAAAGTCCTTGATCCACAGACAGAGGGGTAAGCAAACAGAATAAAAACTGAATAAGACAGTCAAGGCACCCTTATTTATCCAGCACATTCAAAATAATTGTTGAACCAAAGTGCTTTTCAGTATAGAAAGAAAAAAAAGATATTGACATTAAGACTCTATGGTACTCTAAAATATTATGTAAAGTTTCCCTGATTTAATTCGATGTTAAGATGAAAACACTAGAATATTATTATTTATGTAAATTTGACAAATGCAACCCTGAAACATCCCATAAACCCTCACAGTAATGACATATCTGTAAAGCTTTAAAAATATAAATGGGAGCCTCCTTATTTATTTTTATTTTTTAATTTAATGTAACTTTAAAATAGTGAAACTGCAGTGAACAGCCAGGAATCAGAGGTCACATAAAATACAAGAAGTTCACAGGAAAAACCGTTTTTATTATCTGATCTTGACAAGAATGAGGAAGGATGAAGGATTTCATCAGAAAAACACAAGTGTGTGAAAGTTTTTAACAGCAGAACATCTAGAAATAAGTTCAACTGTTTAAAATACCAGCAAATACAAATGTAAAGAAGACACATTGCACAGGACATTAAAATGAATCACATTTAAAATATTATAATAAAGGCTTCATGTAACTGATATTAGTTATACTCCAAAATGAGAAATTGAACTAGGACATGCTTCAGAAAATTAATAATAGAAAATTATTTTAAGAATTTTTTCAGATCCATAATATTACAGCTGTTTAGTCAAAATATGTGTAATTGTTTTTGTTTTTGTAAATATCAAGTGATTTATAAATTAATAAACAAAACTGCAAATGTAGATTGAGAATATTAATACAACTGCTTACAAGTGTACATGTTTCATTTATTTATAAATATGTATGCACAAGAAAGTTAAGCTTTAACCAAAGTTTTTTTTAAAAAAAACGACTCTCTGCAAACCACTATAATAAATAACTATGTCTTGTTGTATGACCCCTTTGTGGCAGAGCCCAGACACATCTTGTTTTGTCAAACTGTGATTATTATTATTATTTTAATAGATTTTACATGATCTTTGCTTTATGTTTTAGTTCCATGATTTGTGCAGAACCATGTGCAGAATTGTCTTCTGTTATTAGACCACAAAGAACTACACATTTAAAATCATTAAAAACGAACTCAGAATGTTTATATATATATATATATAGTGGCTGGAAAGATTAATTTTATGTAATAAGTCAGAGAAAATCTATTTTATTCTATTATTGATTACATATTTGTAGAATATTGCTGACGTCCTGTGTTACACCTGAACGCGTCATGTTAAACTGCGCGGTCCCTTTAAGTGTGAAGCCCCGCCCCCTCCGCTAAGCCGCGTCATCACAAATCTCAAACAAACATGGCGGCGCCCTGCGGCTGCTCGGCTCTCCTGGCTGCTTTAGCGCTGTTTGCGGCGGTATTAGCGGTTCTTTATGCGGCAGACATGGATGTACCGGGTACGGTGGTGTGTTTGGCGGCTGTGGCCGGGCTGCTGTTGCCACTGTGGGGCTTCAGGCTGCGGCAGCGGAACGGAGGGACGGAGCGGCGGGTGTGTGTGCTGGTGCTGGGGGACATCGGTCGCAGTCCTCGGATGCAGTATCACGCCTTGTCGCTCAGCAGACACGGATATCAGGTCACTTTTGTCGGGTTTTTAGGTGAGACTGTGAGTTTTACACTTTTTCATTCAATTATTTAGATGTTTCGGTTGCCTGTCAGCTCTTAAATATTGATTTTGAACCTGTCCAAGGCTCGATATGTTCCATTAAACTGAATTTAAAGTTTAAATAACAGCAAAACTTACAAGAACAGATGTATTCTGTAGGTTAGAAGAGAAGTAACAGTGAAAACTAGACCAACACACAGTGCATAATAGTTTACCTTAGAGCTGTACATCTGCTATTTATAAAAAGATGTTCAACAGGTGAAGAACAGATTAATAACAGATAAACAGGCCCAGAACATTTCAGTGTGAAGTGACAGTTAATATGTTTGGTCAAATAAAGCTAGGAAATTACTCAAACTACCTGTAAAGTGACATTAACTGACTGGATAAGACTAAAAATGACCACAAAGAGATCCAAAATCCCTACAACAAATCAAAAAGATGCCAAATTTCTACAAAAACATTCAGAATTATTACAAAAAACAGGATCACATACTTAAATAAACCTAAAATGACACAGATCAGCACTAAAGGAGGCAAACGAACAGCCAAAATATGTCAAATAACCAGAGAAACAAAAATTATTGCAAAGATATGTGAACCAATCTTGGGCTAAACTGTGCGAAAATGTAGTCGTTTTCATAAATATGTTCAGAATTCTGAAGGACTGCTGATCAATAAAGTGCCCAGGCTCTTATTGTATCATCAAGGGTTGAAAAAAAAGACCAATTTTTTAAATTAAAACCCTGTGTGAGTTGTAAAAGTGACGCCATGATGTTATTTCAGACTCCAAACCTCATCAGGACGTCCTGAATGAGGAGAAAATCAGGATTCTTTCCATTGCGGAGGTGAAAGGTGTTCGAGGTAACTGGAAGCATTTTACAGTGTTTTTGTGTCATCAGGAAAGCAGCAACGTCACAGTTAAAGCAAAGTGTTTGATTTTTTATTTTTTTGTTCCAGCGGGACCCAAAGTCCTCACATACGTGTCGAAGGTGGTTCTTCAGTCGCTGCAGCTTCTGTTTGTGCTGCTGACGATGGAGCTGCAGTCTCAGATTCTGATGCAGGTTTGTTGAACCCTGACGTCTTGGATTCACCTGTGCCCGTATGAGAGGCGTAACAGCACTTCTTTACATGAGAACATCCAAAAGCAGCACGAAGCTCTGGTGTTTTCTACTTTATCTGTCCATTCATTCATTCATTCATTCATTCATTCATTCATTCATTCATTTCCTTCTGCTTCTTAAGCATTTACGGCTGCTTCAAGATGAAGACAGTATTTCTGCCTTATTGAGCTAAAACACCTTAAACTTTACCAGAAGGTGTTTTTTTCAAACATACAAACAGTATTATTAGTGAGTATTTTCAATTCTTCTGTTTTAAATGTAAATAATGATAGTGGCCCTTTCACACATGATGAAAATGTACACAAATAAAATTCAGAGCACCTGAGCTTCTCCCAACAGGAATCTGACTGTTTAGGTAGTTTGATTTAGTTTGAGATGTTTGTCGTCTACACAGTGGAGGTGAATGGAGTTTAGTCTATGGTAAAACATTCATAAAAATCCAGCTGCAAGATGTTTTTCCAGAAACATTTTACTCTGGATAATCCTCATTCACAGACATTAGTGTGTTCCTCCTTACAAATCTAAATCAAACCCGTTTATGTCTTTTATTTTTTTCTTATTCACATTATGCAGCATTTGAGTGCCTTACCACAACTGGAAGACAAACATGTTACTTATTCATTTCTGTTTTCTCTGCTGTACCAAAAACACACCAAAACATGAACTTTCTGTACCGTTACACTGCTGTGTTTTATGTTTTTACATACACCAGCACCAGTATGGATAAAACGTTCAGCTCCCAGCCTACTTACAGTCCCAGTTAATTTATAGTGAAATAGGAGAGACCTCACTTTGAGCAGTTAAACTTGTAAATAAATTCATTGATCCTGAATTTCTCAGTAAAAGAGAGAAGTTTAACTCTTTTTAAATGTCCTGATGAACAGCTGGTGAGGCCCTCTCATGACTTTTCCATCACTGCTTTTACAAATGTTCCACACTTCATTCAATTCCAGCTAATTACTGTGTTTGTTTCCCAGAATCCTCCTGGCCTTCCCGGCATCGCCGTGGCCTGGTTCGTGTCTGTCCTCCGCGGCAGCCGATTGGTCATCGACTGGCACAACTACGGCTTCACCATCATGGCGCTGAGCCACGGTCCGACTCATCCTGTGGTTCGACTCGCTAAGTGGTCAGTGTGACTCAGACTGTTTTAAGGCCTGTGTTCCTGCAATACTAAATTCTCACTCTGGGTTTGTGGTGTTTAATTCTTGCTCTGTTTTCTCTGACAGCTGTTTTCTTTCTTGTCTTCAGGTACGAACACTTCTTCGGCCCTCTGGCAACCAGCAACCTGTGTGTCACCAACGCCATGAAGGAGGACTTACAGAAAAACTGGGGCATCAGGTAGCATCTGATTTGTACTTTCTGTGTCGTTTGTTTCATTTTGGTCGACCAAAGACAATTCAGACAGTCAGTAATTTAGGATTCAGTTCTCACTCTGCTGTGAGACAAAAGTTGCTGTGAAAGTTCTTCCATCTTAAATCATCAAGTTCCTTCTGCTCAAATATCTCTGATTTGCTTGAAACTTTTATCCTAAAATTAGGATATTTAAAATAATGTCTGTATCAGCTTGATATGTCAAGTACTTTTTGAGATAATGTTTTTAAAATTTGCCCGTCGACCCACTTTCAGCAGGTTTTTCCCAGCTTGAAATTTGAGGCTGTTTAACAACAAGATCTCAGGATCTATTCATCGCAGATTATTTCATTTATTTGTCAAATATTGCAGATTCTGAATCAATGACATGATGAGAAATAACAGTGGAAGTTTCAGGTTTTTATCTTTAGCAGTTCCTGAGATGTAGTTGTTCAAACAGCCTCAAACTTCAGTTTTACTGTTGCATTGGACTGCATGAGCTTGGCCGACATAACAAATGGCCGACTGTGTTTATGTACAATCTGCTGGGTTGTTTTTTGTCATTGCTGCTACGTTCCTACCTTGGCGCAGCTAAAATGTTGACCTCAGCGGTGGAGCTGATAGAAAGTTTGCAGAATCATTAAAATCATTGCTGGGGACAACGAATTTCATGTCAGACTGCAGTAAAAATCTGTGAACTTTGGGTTTAAAAACGTGAGATCACAGAGCTGCAGATATGTTTCTGACTGTTTGACCTCTGCAGGGCGACGACACTTTACGACCGACCGCCGTCCATCTTCAGAGAGATGCCGCTGAAGCTGCAGCACGGACTCTTCATGAGGCTGGCCGACGTTTATCCTCAGTTTCAGGACAGTGGGTGAGTTATGAGGCGAGACAGAAGGCACAAAAAATGATTTTAAATTAGTGAAAGTGTCACCGAGGAGTTTTAGCCACGAAAGGATCAGTTTGACTGCAAGAAATGAGAATCAGTTTTACTTTCATGAAGCTGTAAAACCTCAGCGTGCAGATATGGATGCAAACATTTATAATCAGAATTAGTTTTGTTGCCAAGTAGGTTTTTGCATATGAGGAGTTTGTAGGGATTTAACAGTAAAGAAGTAGAGAGTTTTTTTTTAAAGATAAAAACATTTCCAAAGAAAACGGGTATAAGACATGTTTTAAGTAATAAAAAGTAATAGAAATATGTTTTATGTTGTCTGTGCAGTTGACAGATAGTTTTTTCGTGGTTTTCCAGGGTCGTTTCTGTGTGTTTGTCACTTGTCCTGGTGAATATGTGGAAAATGTTGCGTGTTTTTATGACTATTGCTGCCTTCACTGATGTGTTCAGGTCTGACGATGTGGAGCTGGAGAAGTCTGTTTTCTCAGTCCGTGATGCTGCTGACGGTGCCGTGACACTGAGGACGAACCGGCCAGCGCTTCTGATCAGCAGCACCAGCTGGACGGGTAACTGACCCCAGAAACACAACAAAATCCTAAATATTGCTCCAATACTGCACTCTGAGACCCATCTAAAGATGGCCGACTAGGAGGTTTGACGACAAAAACTAGTCTGTGATAAAACTCAGAGAATTTAGAGTCACAGTTTCAGCGTGTGTCTGCTGCAATGACCAAAAGCAACTAAAAGTCCAACTCGAAATATGAAGACATGACAAAGACAAATTTATTGATGAACACATCTCACACAGTGTGTTACAGGAAGAGGTGGAAAGGAGCACTGTGGCGCATGAGAAGGACAAAAATAGGAAGACATTTATTTTCAGTCTTCAAACGTAAAAGACAAATGGGAAAACTTTCAATGACTCCTAGCTGCTAACAGTACAGTGATTTTAGAACTTAATATCCTTTTAATTGTCTTAATCAGACAAATAAACTTAACTTTATTAAGAAGGACAGCTGTGATTGTAGCCACTGGAACTGTAAAATCAAATAAAGTAAACAGAAAACCCAAATGTTGTTTGATGTATGTCCACCTTTTGCCAGAAGAGGCCTTCATGGAGACATGTGACCTGCAGTAAACTTGGTCTGAAGACACCTTCAGATAAACCTGAACACACATATGAATAAAAACCTCATAAATCTTTAATTAGAGCTAATAATCAACTGTCAGGATAAATCAATTCAACCTTTATTTAAACTGTTAATACACTGAGGTCTGAAGGCTTTCATTAGAATAAAAGATGTCGATGCACAAATAAGTAACTCGTATAAAAATTATGCTAAAAATGTTCAAAAGAAAATGAAACAACTACAACAAGAGCAGCTGGAGGTAACATAAGTTCAGTCCAGGTGGAAGTTGGTGCAAACACAGATTTATTTAAGAGATTTTAAAGGTCTGCTTTTCCTTTTTCCCTCTACAGAGGATGAAGATTTCTCCATCCTGCTGAAAGCTCTTCAAGGTACAAGCTGTTTAAACTGAAACTAACTCAAATACTCTAATATTTTTCATCACCTCACTAATGTTTGTTCTTCACAGATTATGAAGGTTTCGTTAAAGGAGGAGCTTCGTTACCGTCTTTAGTCTGTGTGATCACAGGTAACGTTTTTACTCTTTTTCTTTAGTCCAGATTCCAGCTCCTTTGTTGTGAAAACACAGATTTTAAAACACATTTAAACAATAAAAAATCACAGAGAGAACATGAGGAATGAGGGAATAATGAATAAAAGGGGGGGGAAGTATATATTAAATAATTTTATTGTGTTAATATGAATGAATAGGAGTTGATTATTATGGATTGAATTTAATTTTTATTTTTTTATTTTTTTTTACATGTGCCTGTAAATCTTTTTGAAAAATCTCTGTGTGTGTGATAAAATTCTATAAAATAAAACTTCCCGGTTTGTATTAAACTTTATGTAGCCCTGTAACAACACTTTTTTAATCTCCTCCCTCTTTTACAAATCCAACTCGTTGGACCACTTTTGTACATTTAAGAATATCGCGGTGAAAACTTCACAAACTTTCCTCTTTTAAGTGTCTTTTTATGTGTTTTTTTTTTTTCAGGTAAAGGTCCTCAGAAGGAACATTACAAGAAAATCATCGACTCTCTACGTTTGGATCACGTTAAGATCTGCACTCCGTGGCTGGAGGCTGAAGATTATCCCGTCCTATTAGGTATTTTTCAGCATGTATTTAACCCTCTAAACATGATTAAAATTGAAATACTGATAATAAGTCAGTAAGTAACTAAGTTAGTACCTCAGTCAGTATGTAACTAGTTTAGTAGGTGACTATGTAAGTAATTAGATCAGTCAGTAACTAAGTCAGTAAGTCCATCAGTAGGAAAATAAATTAATAAATAAAGAGTAAAAGAGAATAAAAGAGACTCTCCAAATCAAAATGTGTCCTAAAGTTTCTGTTCACTTCAGGAATTAAATAACATCAAATTATTAAAACTAGAAAACACCAAGTCACACATGCTGCTGCTGCTGCTATGTGTTAAGAAATGAGTTAAATAATTTTGTTTTTGTCGTGTAGGTTCTGCAGATTTGGGTGTTTGTCTCCACAAATCGTCCAGCGGACTCGATCTGCCCATGAAGGTGGTCGACATGTTCGGCTGCTGCCTCCCCGTCTGCGCCATCAGCTTCAAATGGTGAGAACGCTTTATACAAAACACTTCATGTTTCTATTCACGCCACTGTTAGGGCTGGAATGACAGCAGTATGTAAAACATCTGAAGATACTTGAGGCTGTAGCAGCAGCAACAAATAATCAGACCATTTTGTTTCCTTAATTTCAGGCCATCATTGCCTTCAAGGATTCAAAAGTAACTGGACACGTTCTCTCTTTTGCCCATGAACTAACACTGAAACATGTCCAATTACTTTTGAACTTCTGCAGTTTGTGCAGCGTGTGTTACAATGACTCTCTCTCCCACACAGATCTTTAAATGTCAATGTAAACTGACTCAAATTAACGCTGATACTCGGCTCTTTAATGTCACATCAGTTATTTAATATCAGTGTCAGGACAGTGCTTGAGAGTGTATGGATACTGGAATCCTGCCTCAAAGTTACCTCTGCTGTGTTTGCTAACAGTTTACATGAGCTGGTGAAGCACGAAGAGAACGGACTGATCTTCAGAGACTCTGCAGAACTCGCTCAGCAACTGCAGGTGAGACCAACACCTGGAAACTAATTGCAGTAATATTAATAATAATATTACAAATAGTACAACTACAAATGCTAATACTACTACTGCTACCACTACTACAGCTAGTAATGTTGTTGTTGTTGTTGTTGTTGTTGTTGTTATTATTATTATTATTATACTTTATAATGTTAAAATGTCATACTCATAAAAAAGTGTTAGATGAAATTAACACACATTACGATTTAAGCAGCCAGTTGCACTGTTTGCTTACACTTAGACACGTTCTTCAGCTCATGAACTCTTCATTATTTACTGTTTACGTCACACCACTGTCTGAAAAAGATTCTCCTTGTTTGTTTCCAGTCCCTCCTGTCAGATTTTCCCAGTTCAGACGGCAGACTGGGAGCCTTCAGGAGGAACCTCCGCACCAGCAGGGGGCAGCGCTGGGACGACAACTGGGACCAGAACGTTCTGCCCCTGATCAGTTCAAGATGAACCCAATCAGGAACGCTGCTACAGAGCTAGTTTTTTCCCAGTGGTTGTTTGTGGTACTGCAACAAAAAAAAAACTGCAGCGACATCTGCAACACTACAAAACCAGGTCGGTTATATTTATGAAATGTGCAGTGGATCAAACAGCATTGACGCAAAATCAAAAGCAGGGAAAATGTTACGGCTCATTCCTCATCTCGGAGTCCAATTTTATTATTACGTCAACGTGATGAACACTGAAGTCACAGCAGGAGAGTTTGAAGGACCAACACTCATGTTTGTTTGTTTTTTTTAAGATAATACATTTAAATTCTAGAGGAAGTAAATGTACCCTGATGTGCAAAACACAACAATGATATTTTAGTAAATACGACAATAAAACAGAAAACACAACTTTTTACACAACATGACAAAAAAAAAAAAATGAAAACACCTGAACACATTTTAGAAAACTATTTTGGAAACACAACAAAAGTTTACAAATTGTTTTCGTGTTTTTTGAAATGTTATGTTATTGTCCATTCTGGTGATGTTGTGTTTTGCACCTCAGGGCCACCGTGTACCTCTTCTTATTTACTAAGTCTGGATGACGTGTGGAGTCATGCAGGAAGCGAAACGTCTGATAACTTCAGACTCTTTCAAGGAAACATCAACAAACTCAGCCATGAACACTCACGAGATAAAAACTTTGTGTCGGGGAACTTTTTGTCTTTCCATTCCCGCAGCTTCACTTGAATGTACAAAAGACACTTTGATACGATGTACAATTGTAAATAAAACCTTTATTGTACTAAAGTCACCTGTATAATCTGATCAGCTCGATGGCAGAGAGTCTGTTGTAGGGAAACACCTGTCGGACCGCGTCCGTCATCACCTGGTGGCTGATCCCCGCTTTTTCTGGTAAACAACACAAACAGGTGAGTTAACCGAAGCTGTAAAGTTTGATTATACAGCACTTTGTTCTACACAGAGTTTATTCAAAGTTGATTAAATTAATCAAAAGCCTTAAAGTCACGTTAAAGTGCACAGATTTATAGAATAATTAAAATCACTGACTGGGACTAATTAGGGCACATGAGAGATTAAGTGTGCAATAAAACAGGAAAGTAATCAGTTGAAATTAAGTGGAAAAACAGTACAGACAAGTATGATAACAGTACAGGCCAGACTTTATAATAACGTCGATTATTTAAAAGCAGTGGAAATTAGCGTATTTGGGGCACCTAAGTTGTAAACAGGCTGGTTCTAGTGGCAGACTGCAACAGTCGTGAACAAAAGTTTCCATCCACTTGTAAAGACCATGTTTATCATGAGTTTCCAGTGACTCCGATAACTCAGAATTTTCTATGATGGAATCACTAAAACGTGAATCTTGGTCACACAAAAAAAAAAACACACTGCATTTTGGTTCTTCCATAGATTTATTATAGGTCTGCTGGAAATATGACTCGTACAAGAAGGAAGTTCTTCCCTAAAGCTGGACTGAAGTTTGCTGCTTTTCACATAGACAAAACACATCCTGAAGGAAAGTTCTGTTGTCAAATGAAACAAAACCTGAACTATTTGGCCACAATGACCAGAAATATGTTTGGTGTCTAGAAGGTGAGGCCTTCAAACCCCATCAAGAACCTTTGGACTGATGAAGAAACAAGTCTGTGTCAGAAAGCCAACACTTTTAGTTGAACGGCACCAATTCTATTCAGTCAGACAGATGCAGGTCTGCTTTACCACATAAAGTAACAACTGCACACTTTTATGTTCCACCTTGTTGCACTGGATATAACTTCTTGGCTTCCAGTTGGTCTTAAGACTTGAAATCAGAACAAACCTCTCCTGTAGTTACTTACCGAGCTGCAGTTTAAATCCGCTGTAGGTTTCTGGGTTTCTGATGGTGGAGCAGATGAGGATTTCAGGAGACGAACACTTCAAGATGGTAGACAGAAGCTTCACCAAACTAACTGCCACGTCTGGGTCATACACCACATCTGCATCACAGGAGCAAACATCTGTAAGGCTTCACCATTAACGCAATTGAGTCAATCAATAGAATTTGATTTATTTTAGTCACTAGTATTCTTAAACAGAAATACAATTTTAAAAAAGTAGTTCAAGCTTTGAAATTGTGAGAATTTGCCGGTTTTCTCTTTCTTCTGATGTTTTATGTCAGGATTTTTGGGGGATTTTCCACCAATATTTCACAGCAAATATAGAAAAATAAAAGGGCCCTAAGATGGAATCTTGAGGAGCTCCACAACTGATTGGGGAAGTAAAGGAGGCACAATTCCCTGGATTTATGTCTCTTTGTTGTTGTGCTATGTTGTCTGTGGTCATTTTGTGTCTCTTCATAGTTACTGAGTGTCTCTTTGTGGTCATTTTGTGTCTCTTACTAGTTATTCTGTCTCTTCAGTAGTTTTGTGTCTCCTTGTAGTCGTACTCTGACCTGCAGCGATGACTGTGTCGGCTCCAATCTGTCTCAGCTGTTCCTCCGTCGCTGTCGTCCAGTCCAGCTGCACCACGTCGACCTCCGGAGTCGTTCTGTCACTCAGTCCGTTCAGTCGGACGTTGTCTCGGAGTTTCTGCAGGACTGTGGAGTGACAGTCGCTGAACACAAACCTGTTCGGGCTGCAGCAGTGACACACGGTGATACCAGTCAGACCGACACCACTGCCCAGCTCCAGAACCGTCCTGCAGGGAAGAGACAGGTATAAAATCAAAATCCTAAAATCAACAAAAACCAATATGTCAGATTGCAAAGAAATTAAGAGATGAAATTAAGAGTTGTCCTTCAGCTGTGGCTCTATTTTTTACAGTATTTGTCTTTGCAGCAGAATGATGTGAAACTTGTTCACCTGCCTTATTTAATATCTGTGTTCTCAAAAAAATTACATGTATTTGTTTCTCTTTGTTGTTTTTTCACACCTTTCTGTGGTAATTTTGTGTCTATTTGTTATTATGTCATGTCCTTTCTTGTAATATTGTGTCGCTTTACTGTAGTTTTGTATCTTTTTGTGGCCATTTTGTGTCCCCCCATAGATATTTTGTCTCTTTGCAGGCATTTTGTGTCTAGTTCTAGGCCTTTCTTGTCTCTTTGTGATCATTTGTGTCTTTTCATAGTCATTTTGTCTCTATAGATATTCTTTGATCTCAATCATCTACAACATGATGAGAAATAACAGTGCAAATTTCAGGTTTTTACCTTTAATCATTCCTGAGATTTTGTTTTTCAAACAGCCTCAAATTTCAATGTGTACAAAAATCTACTGAAGTGTGTCAACGATATTTCTTTCATGGTCATTTTGTGTCTTTTAGCTGTTGTTTCATGTCTTTGTTGTCATTTTGTGCCCGTTTCTGTGGTTTTGTGTTTCTTGTGGATTATTCCTGAATGACATAATGCTGACGGTTCCACACTGTGCTGGTTCTGCAGGGTTCTGGTACCTCCCGATGAAGTGCTGCTGGTGGTCCAGAGCCCACTCTGCCAGGTACAGAGCTGCCTCCCAGGTCACCAGGCCGGTGGTTCCCTCTGAGATCAGAGCCACGTTCTCAAGCAGGCTGACAGCGCCACCACCAGGCTGCAGGAAGAACAGCAGCAGAACCTGATCAGAACAGCTGCACACAGACGCGGTTCTGTTCATTTCCAAGTGTTTTAGCTCAATGCTGGTACCAGTAAGTAACTCTTGTAGCTCTCGCTGGTCTCCTCGGCTCCGATAACTTCACCCAAAGCATCGTACAGCTCATCCAGAGGATCACAGTCTGCTGCCTCCTGCTGCAGACACACAAAAACACACAACACTCCTTTTGTCACCTGGGTTTTACCTGTTAGTGGTGTGAAGTTCAGAGAGAAACACCTCAACTGATATCAGATGTTTTTTTGTGGTCGTTTTGTGTCTCTTTGTAGTCCGTTTATATAAATTGTGGTCATTTTGTGTCTATTTGCAATAGTGTTATGCTTATTTGCAGCCATTTTTTGTCTCTGTAGTCAATTTGTGTCTTCTTGTGATCTTCTTGTGTGTCTTTGTGGTCGTCTTGCGTCTCTTTGCTGTCATTTTATTACTTATGTGGTCTTTTTGTGGTTGTTTTGTGTCTATTTGTTTTATTTTTGCGTCTCTTTGCTGTCATTTTGCATAGTTTATAGTCATGGAGTATGACTTTATTTTTGTGTTTCTGTCATCTTTGTTTTGTGTCTCTTTGTAGTCATTGTGTGTCTCTGTGGTCATTTTGTGCTTTTTTGCAGCTTCTTTTTTTTTGCATGTCTTTGTAGCTGTTTTTTGTCTTTGTGCTGTGGTTTCATGTCTTTTGTAGTTGTTTTGTGTCTTATTCTGGTCATTTTCTGTCTTTTGTATTGTGTGATTGTTTTGTGTCTCATAGCTGTCGTCATTTGTTGTTGTTTTGTACAGGACTTAACCTCCTTGTGAAAGAAACTATTCCTAAAACTGTAAATCAGATCTAAATGTTGTTAACAAACCACTGACCAGTTTGATGAGCTCCAACAGAAACAGCCTCCTGAATCTGACCGATGGTGGAAACTTCCGGCACAGCGGGTGAAGACAAGTCTGTTAAATTCAATAAGAAAAACATCATTACTGTTTATTTAACGGATATATTCTGATATTTTACTATTACACCATAATAAAGGGAGTTTTTCCTTTACCTGCTTCAGGATCTCTGAAATAAATTCTGATGACTTGTTGCTCTGGAGGTCTTTTTGTACAAACTGTAAAAGCAGAAAAGATTAGAATTAGCCGTTTAATATTTGAGATAGAAACACTGCTTCAAGACGAAGGCACAAACTGGCTTTAGCTTCAGTTACACACTCTTTAAATGCAAATAGTGCATACATAGTTTTTTTAAAAATCATTTTCGCTTTCTGGCTTTGACATTATTTCATAGTTTCTTATTGTGTGTAGTGCAGCAGTTGCAAGCAGTGCAGAAAAATGCAATACTGTCAAATAAATAATACATTAAACATTCATATTCCTCATTTTGTTGGTATTCCTGATGTTTTGTTTTTAAGCTCAACACTGTAATGTCATTATGTCCTTGTGAAAATTATATGATCACTAAATATTATTAAGAGCTACCACATATTTATAGACTTTTAAAGCCTTTTCTTAAATGTTGGTGAAATCACAGCTTACTAATGTGAACCGTCACCGCAAAATACACGTCAACGATATTGATTAAATTAAAATTTACTTATATTTATTATTCTTTCAAGCAACTCTTATCTGAGACTTTAAATCTCAACCTCTGAATCACCTGTGAAGTTTCTTTGTAAATCCAAAGCGCCAGAACTAAGCAGGAACTGAACCAAGATCTAATATAAAAGTAATAAGATCATTTAATTAAATTCAGACCTGCAGATTAATTATATCTGAGCCGAATTACGCAGAGTGCTCCACTGATTTATTTGTGACATAATTTCAGTCGTATTATCTGTATCATGTGTTGCTGGAGAGCGCAGCAGCACGAATTGGCACATTTTTGAACGGCGGCCGGTTCTCTCCGTGGGGCTCCTCTTACTCACAGTCCAGGGAAACGACGGCAGGCGGCTCATGGCGAAAAACGACACCTGGAAGTCCTTTAAAACATCTTCAGCTTTTAATGTGCCGTTTTCTGAGGTTTGGTTCTGCTCTGAATGCTCCATGCTCAACGTGTGTTTGTTTACTTCCTGCTTACCCAGAATCCACTGCGACGATCTGGCGCTGAAGCTACTGGGTAATGTGGTTTATTATTTTATAAAATTTCAACTATAGTAAGAATGATAATGAGAACTGTTGGTATTATTACTATACTTAAATTAAATATAAGTAAAAATGATTTATTTAAATTATTACTCTTTTCATCCTTTATATTTCTGGATTTAATGAGCAAACATTTCAAAAGCAACATACAGATAAGAAACATGTACAACAAATCACACTTTACATAAATGGCTGTACATACACTTTACATATTTTTTGCATGGCCAAACATGCAGAAAATATACTTCAGTAACCCTAAATGTATAACAACTACTGTGCACATATTAATATGAACTAATATTGTATATTAAGTATTGTAAGTAGTTGTACTCACTAAATTATTATTATTATTATTATTATTATTATTATTATTATTATTATTATTATTAGTGGTACATAACATTAAGAAATTAGTCCAGACTTAAGTAATTTATCAAAAAAAAACACAAAATAAATATATAAAGATTGTTTAATCTATTAGTTGCAAAAACAAAGTATTTCAAGTCAAAAATCATTTTCTGAAGCTGTAAACAGTAACCTTTAAATATCTACATTCATCATAAAACGGTACCACACAAAGAGATTTTAACCTTGAAATGGTCTACTGTTGATTGTTTTTGTTATTTTTAGTCTGCTGAAGGTTTTCTTGCCGCCCTTTTCTTGCTGTGTCACTGCAGAATGAGATAAATCTCTTTTCAGTTGGACCAACTCCTCATTCACAAGAGCAGCAGCAACACAGAGCAGATACTGGTGAGGAACAAGCACATTATTACTCCTGATATCATTGTTATATTTTTGGCATATTAGATTTCTTTTTCACCAGAAAAACTGAAAATAACAACTTTGATCATTTTTATATCGTTGTACATTATGAATACAGCAGGTCTGCATTCACAGTTGTTCAAATATAACATATTCCTGTTCCAATGGATTACTTTTATTTTTAAATTATCCCAGTTATTATTATGTATTTGTTCATCTTTCGGTTTGTTTGTCTCTTTCTAGTTGAGCTATATTCATAAAACAAACATTGGATTATTAATTATAATAACGTATGCTTCTTTATTCAAGAATTTAGTTTTCTCACAGGTGTTCATAATACACATACATGTGGATGCAAGCATTTATTGGTGCACAACTTGCACAACGAATGAGAATGGGTAAATGAAAAGAAATTAATTACACAAGTTGCAACTTTACCGAAATCAAAAAATCTAATTAAATAAAACTACATCAATATAATCCAGTATTATTAGTATAAAAATATAAAATAATGTGTAATTATAATTGCTACTATCCTTATTATTTATTGTGATTAAAATTTAAATCAGGATCAGATTTTTAAAGGCAATCATAGGAATAGAATACACGCGGACTCGTGTTTCCCAACGGAGCATTTTACTGGACGGACTGTCAACAACAAAAATGGCGGCGGTTCGCTAGTAGCTGAACTCAGATGGAAGGTGAATCTTGTGTTGGTCCTAAAGAAGGTAAATGTAATGCAGTTTTACACTCATATCTCGTTTTCATACTGACGTTAGACAGCTTGAGGTTCACGCTGCTCGGTTTATTCTCAGTTATTTAATTCAGTTCGATTTTTAAAACTTTTAGCAGAAGAACTGCGGTGAAGTTCGAGCAGCAGTTTGTCGCTTGAGGACAGAATAAACTGGTCTCTCTTATTTATCATATAGACCTTTAACAAGCCGTATTCTATCGGTTATTCCTACATTTATGTGTTGTCGCTAACACTCCGGCTAACCTACTTTCTCGTGCTAGCTGGCTAACTGTCACTACCGCCGCTGAAATCAATGACATTCCTGCCCCGGGCTTCCTCTGTTGCCACAACAACAGTCGATATTTGAAGGACAAAGAAGGAGGCCAGCCGTCCAGTCCAGATATTACAACTCCAGACTCCCGTCAAAAACCGTGAAATTTAGTGTTCGTCCTTCTGTCGCGCTTAAGTATTAACAGACCTTCAGCACTGGAATAACTTTCATGAATATCAGGGATCCACTCTTCCATTCGGCAGGTATTATCCCTGTAATTCTAACTTATTTTCATATCCGTACTTTAAGATTTGGTGGGTGTCACGTCCGGAAGCGACGTGGAAGAGCAGCACAAATGTAGCATGCAGGAGAAATGGTTGCCAAAAGTCACCCAGCTTTATTTTATTAAGCTAATTTGAATTTCAGCTGCAAATAACAATTACTTCATTGTTGCATTGTTGATTAATCCATTTTTCCCCCTCAATTAACTGATGAGTTGTTTGGTCTATTAAAAAAAAAAAATAAAAAATGTCGATCAAATCCAAAGATATTCTGTTTAGTAGAGGAAGAAACAAACCAGAAAATATTCACATTTAAGAAGCTGCAGAGAATTTAGAGCTTTTCTCTTAAAAATGACTCAAACTGATGAGCTGATTATCAAACTAAAATGAGCCTTTAAAATATATAACATTCAACAACAAACTGCATATTTAACATACATGACATACATTTGAGGCATTATTTATAAACCACATGGAAAGCAACAGATATTGAGCCAACAAGCCAAGAGAGGCACAAGATTAACTTGACAAATATATCTTTTATATTCACAAAACTCACCAAGAAAATACATACAAATACAAAAATACAAACAGCACAGATATATAAATTATAGCAAAACCAGATCATTTGCTAATGAATGAGTGATCCATTCAGTGCTGTAGATGATAAGTCCACGTTATTCCTCCAAACTTGGTAAATACAGTCTAACAGTCAGATTTCTTGTTTGGCCTCATTTTCAGATCAGTAATCCCAATTTCTGTCAACAATATTTCCTTTAACACTTTCAGAAGTACTGGAATTCTTCTCCACTGAGTAAATTCTGTAAATAATCCTGAGAGGAGGAACAACTTCACATTGTTATAGCTTGCAGTTCAGCTTACATGGAGCTCACTTGTTGCTTAACAAACCTTTTAAAATCAGCTGAGGTGAGATGAAATACTGTAATAAACTAACTTCGAGAAGTCTAAAGAAGTCCTACCAAGAATTTAACCCCATGACAGTTGTCTTTATCCTCCATTTTTCCATGAAGAGTTTAAAGTGTGGAGTTAAACCTCTGCTCCCTCTTTGTGGTAGCTGTTAAGTTTTAATTATTCACTAACTCCTGGTTGTCTTTTCACAGATCTTTCAAGCTGCTGGAGGCTGATGCTGCAGTGACGTCATGGTGCTGAAGATCTTCTTCCCTCAGTGCTGTAACCGGGCCGACAGCGGGCTGCTGGTGGGCCGCTGGATCGCCGGTCATGACTCGGCCGTGGTGCTGGCGGTGATCCACTACCCCTTCATCCCCGGACAAGTCAAACAGTACATCCAGCAGGTCGGTGCAGCAGCAGGGCAGATGGAGGCCTCACAGATCATGTTGGTCTCTTTAGGAGCCACTTGTGTAAATGAAAAAGATGTTAAATGTGTGCAAGTGGTGGTATAACAGGTAGAAACTTTCACTGAGGTGGAAGGTGTTTGTGGATGATTTGAGCATGAAGCCATGTGAACGTTCGTTCGAATTACCTGTTGGAAGATTGACTTCCTGTAAATTTATTGAACATTATGAAGGATTCTTGCTTTTTAATTCAATTAATTAAAAACCTTTAAAGGCACGACAAGCAAGAAGAACGTTTGGGTTTTGTCTTTCACTAGACTCTCCTCTGACTATAATGTGACCTTAAGAAGAACAAACCACTACTCCAGGGATACTTTTAAAACTCTTATGTCTTTTTGAACTTATTTATTTACGTTAGTTATTTATATGAACTGCAACACATGTTTTTACCTTATTCACTGCTGCATTTTGTTGCCTCGTACTGACCCACGTATGTTTGTACCTCTGACGAAGAACTACCTTGTAATTCTGGAATTTTATGTGCTTTATGTGTAATCTGCAAAAGGAGGGATCAGAAGAACTGTCTCAATCTCAATCTGAATCTGTAATGTGCTGCGATCGATGAGCATGACAATAAAAATCCACTCTAAGCAGCCTGTCAGTGGCTTTAAATGTAGCTGTTAGGACTTAGAAAACTTAAAATAAGCTTGTGTTCATTAGGGTTTAGGTAAAGAAAGACATAACCTGAGTTTGTACCTCCAGTGATTCTACAGCTTTTACATTCAAGCCACAAGACTTCATGTAAAATTGTCCCAAAGACAAGAAGCCCAGATGTTCAGCTAGGAACTTGTAATGTTGTTCTGATGGGATATATACGATCTGCACAGGCTCGTTGACCGGCTGGATGAAAAGAAATGTGAAATCTGTTGCAAAATGAAAAAGAGCTGATTGAAAACTTGTGCCTCCTTTCCCTAATTTAAGCAAAGTCTGTAGTTGGAGATGACATAACTTCTTAACTTAAAATCTCCTCCCTCACCGCTCAGCCTTCCTCCATCTCTTTTCTCCCAGATGCAGGCTCAGAGCGGGGTGGAGCTGTCGGTGCTGGGCTCCTGGAGTTTACCTAAAGAGGGCCAGGAGGGCATGGAGAGCTTCCTCAGGGACCTCAGCACCATCTTCCCCCAGGAGCGCTGGCTCCAGATCAGCCGCCAGATGGGGAAGATGGGCTTCACCTGCGAGATCCTCAACCGGGGTCAGAGTAAGACCCTCAGATTTCTAGAGCAGGAGGCTAGAAACTGTGGTCAGATATTGAGTTGTAAAGACCTCACGCAAGGTTTACTATATTTATGAACCGTGAAAAACTCGTTGACAACGTCAGACCTAAATGCACTTCTTTAATCAGATTTTTAAATGAATGAAGTTTCAGAACTCTAGTGTGCAGCTATAAGTTAGAAATTAGCAGCTGCACAGATCAGTAAAATACATATGTTTGCTCACAAATTTGTTATCTGTCTTGAATCAGTAAAAAGGAAGGTTTACTGAGTTTATAAATTTATTTTTTTTGCCATGACTAGATGGAAAAGCAGCTCAGCGGAGAGTTAAAAAGGAGAAAAAGGAGGAAGAGGTGGACAGTGGTGAAGCAGAAAAGGATGAAGAAGAAGAAGATGAGGAGAAGGTAATCTTCGTCCACTACGAGCAGAGAAAGGTGATGCTGTCGCAGCTTCATCCCATCGAGAGTGGAGACCCCGACCTCAAAACTGATCCACCGTCCGAGCTGAGACAGGTAAAAGTCTGAACGTGAAGCGTCCACACTAGGAATTAACTAATTATCTGCCCAACCGATTACTGAGAGCGGTATTTGGCCTTTTTAGATTATTGGTATCATTATTTTATTGATCAGTTACCACAAAATACATTAAATGTGCTTCTTCTTTCGTCTAGCCAGCTCTCAATGTCCCGGCCGCAGCACAATCTGATTGGCTGTTATATGTCACGAGTAACAGCCAATCACAGCTATTGCTTATACAGAGAGACAAATAAGTGCATTTTTAACAGGAGAGTGTTGTAGTGATGCTCAGATGTCATCACTCCGATTTCAGTTGTACATATTCAATAATAATCATTATTATGAAGACGCCTAGTTAGGAATGACAGGTTTCTGCTATCACACACTGTTACTTAATGTATATATGTATAAATTCACAGTTATCCTTAATTGATATAACCATCGCCCCTAAAAGTGCTGTATCGGTCGATTCCTCATCCACGCTTATCCTGCTGCGTGTTTTCTCCAAATAATTCCTCCTGACGTGAGCAGGTAGTCGTGGATCTCTAACTTATCCTCCTCCTGCTCAGGTGTTCCAGACGGTGGCCCTCAGCCAGCCTCTGTTCTTCTTGGACAAGTACGATGACGGACCTCTGAAGTCGACTCACTGGCAGTCTGAAGGCCGAGAGGCCAGCATCATCGTGGAGCTGCTCAAACAGGCATCGGTGCCGCTCTGCCTGCTGCTCAGCTGGATGCTCTCCATGTGGACGTGGCTCTGCAGCATCCGGTGAGAGACACCACAGTTCAGACAGTGTTTTCATCAGGCATTTATCTGCAGATGTGTGCATAAAAATGTCAGAAAATGCTGCCCACAGTGACATCTTCAGATACTTTGTCCAGTTTAAAACCCACAGAGCCTCAGGTTACTGCTATGTTTGACAGCATCACAACCTCCCGTCTTCATTTTTCTTTAAACCTGCAGTGTGGAACCTTTGTCTCCCCCCTCTGGTAGTGAAAGTAATCACAAAAATGCTGGTGTTAAGACGTATTTTATGGCATTAAGGTGTATTTAATAGTGTTAAGTTGTAGTTTATAGTGTTGGGATGTATTTTGTAGTGTTAAGATGTATTTTCTACGGAATATATCTTTTTGGTATGTGTAGCTTGTCAAAAAAACAAAAGACACGAGACAAATCCTCATGCTGTAAATTGTATTGAATCTGTACTGAGAAGTTGTTTTCTTTTTTTATCTGGTTTCTTCTGCAGGATCTTCAGTCTTTATCCGCTGAGATTCTTGTCCACCAAACTGTCCACATGTGTCCAGCTGAGCTACAGAACCGAACACATGAGGACGCTCAGTTCACCGAAAGCAGCCGCCGGTCACACACAGTTCATGAGGTGGGAGTCTGGTGAAAAGATGAGGTTTTCTGTGCAGACGCGGTGCAGTGACTGGTGGTTTTTATT